ATTCAAGGAGGCATTTTCCCTGTTCGATAAGGACGGCGATGGCACCATCACCACCAAGGAATTGGGCACTGTTATGCGATCCTTGGGTCAGAACCCCACCGAAGCAGAATTACAAGACATGATCAATGAGGTAAGTTTTTAATTTCTTGTACCCGATTATTTGTTGTTTTCTTTCAATCGTGTTTGACGCCAGTACGTACACTTGATGTGCGTCTGACTTTCCGTAGTTCTACGATTCGTTATCTTCCTTCGTGATTCATGCGCTCGTTATCCCGAACAGCCCTGAGCATCCTGGTGAAATTGTAGTTTGGTGAGAGTTTCATTTGTATTTTAGCTGGGTCATGTTGCCGAGAAATCCGTCGTGTTATCTAGAATTCGTCCCTAGATCGGAATTCATCAAGGATTCAAGATAGCTTTGAAGTGAAATTCTGTAATGTCATGTGTTGAGTGAGTTGTGATGGCTTGCAAGAATCTATACGTTAATCTGCGGATCATGTTCATACGTCAAACCTCGTTGGCGGAGGTCAAGGGATCACATGATTTGAATTCTGGGTCAGCGGGAAAATGTATGCAACAGTCTCTTGACCGGTTTATCCTCATTTTACCACCGGCATCAATGCTGAATACTTGACATTTAGAGATATATCTTGGCTGTTTAGCACATTTTTGCCAAGTCGTCGTACCGTGTCCAAGTACCGTTGAATGTACAGCATTCTGTAGAATTTTTTCGAATTCTTACGTGAGTACCGTATAGTTGACCTTACTCAATCAGACCGTAAACTGCAAGTACAGTATTGTTCAGTTCTGTATAGTAATATTAATCCGGCGGATCCTGGATGTATTTCCCTTATCTTTTTGTTGTAACCCATATGATATAATGGCGAGGGCGGTTTCCAAATCGTCATGCAGGTGCCACATCACTCTCGAAGTACAGTATGTGTATGGGAAAGTATGGAAGCTGAGGAATGTTAAATGCATTTTGGGCGACACCTATGCGGTGAACAGTAAATAGTGGGCTGAGGAACAAGTCAATAAGAATTTGAGAACAGTAGGTTTTATCTTGCTGTGGTGAAAGTACGATGTAAATAATTGCCAATTATATTCGCCGTACAAGAAAATAATCACCCACGATTTTTCTTGGGTCGTAGAACGAATACAGTTCTTGAGCCCTTTCGGTTCAAGGAACTGGGGCCTCCGAATTGAAATTACGGAAGACATGAATTATGAAATGCCTTCGGTGTGTTTATCCTTACACTCTGATCGTCATGAATCATTTCTGAAAGTAGTTGATTTGAACAGTACTGTACCATGAATCTTTTTTTTTTCTGCGGAATTCCCGAACATTTGGCAGTTGTTGATGGAAATGAATTAACTTGGGCGACATCTACGCTGTGTTATGCGGAGACATGCGAACGAAGAACAGTGATGAACCGGTAGCATGAGATGGACTCTCCATACGAATCTCCATTCTTTGGATTGACGTTTTTTTGTGTGTCCCAGATACATCCGGACAACGGAAGTCTCTCTTCAAAGAATTTTTTCTGTTCCTTGAATTTTGTTGTAGAGGGAGTCCACCTTCAGATAGATTTTGATGGCGAGTTTAGCGTTCAAGTACTGTTCTGTGGTTTCTCGAACCTTTTTCACCCGCGGATTCCCTTTTCTTAGAATCAGTATTCATTACGGAACCCGTCAGGCATATTCGGTCTCTGGACTAGAGTGGAATTCGTTGTAATTCATGTGATTTGTAATTTCTGTGTACGGTGGGGAAAAGGGATGCGGACGTAATTAGGGCTTGGACCTTGTCCCTATGTCGGAGCGTCCTTATTTCGGATGCTCGGATCACATTTCCCCATAGACATCAATAGGAACATATTTAATTGGTTCTCCTGTTTTATCAAAAATAAGGAATAAAGTCCCCAAAAATTGAATAAAATATTGTTTTCCAACTTTAAGATGCAGGAAATAGCTGTGCGGAAAGAAAAAAATCACCACGCAGACACTGATCTTTTTGCATCAGAAGGAGCTCAAGAAGCAAATAACCAGAGTCTAGCTTTACTGTAAACACGTGATGAAAAAAAATCGAACTAGAAAAGTACAAAATTAACTTGTTTTTGATCATGAATTAGGGTACTTTCATAATGAAGTTCATTTTTATTTATTTTTGAATATAAATCGCTCCACTTGTTCAAAGAGGTATCCGCATTTTCAAAATTCTTCTTTTCTAAAAATGCTGGGAAAGGTTCCGTGTCTCGAACCATTGTCCAGATGTCGGATCAGATTTTTTTCTAGTTCCAAATGTCTATAAGTCGAAACCCTCACCAATGTGTCTGTGCGTCCGTATGTCGAGGTTCCATTTTAAAAATTTTATGGAGTTGTCGACGAACTCTCCTGAATAGCCGTGGTGTGTCTTTTCGGCGTATTATTCATGACTGAAAAACGAACTGCTAGATTTGATATTGAATTTCTGACTTGAATTCGTGAGCATGCGAGTTCCTAGAAGCATGCTCGATTATCCTTTATCCCCGGGCCAGATAAGCTTCGCGTTTAAGGAGTGGCATTTGTGTGTCGTTGACACTCGGGCTTTGTTTTGCATTCCAGGTTGATGCTGACGGCAACGGGACGATCGACTTCCCCGAATTCCTCACCATGATGGCCCGGAAGATGAAGGACACCGACAGTGAGGAGGAGATTCGCGAGGCGTTCCGCGTGTTTGACAAGGACGGCAACGGCTTCATTTCCGCCGCCGAGTTGCGACACGTCATGACGAACCTCGGCGAGAAGCTCACCGACGAGGAGGTGGACGAGATGATCCGCGAGGCCGACATTGACGGCGACGGCCAAGTCAACTACGAGGAATTCGTCACCATGATGATGTCCAAGTAGAGACGCCAAAACAAACAAAACAAAAAATTAAGAAAAGCGGCGGTGGCGGCGGCGGCGTCCTGAAGTTCCCCCCTCACCGGGAGAATAAAAGGGGGGCGTTTTTTTGTGGGGAGGGGCGGCGGGCGACGGTGAACACGTTTTTTCGATTATACATTTGGCAAAAATCGCAAGAGAAGAAGAAAAAAATCATGAAGTCACGCGGTTCTTATTTTTTATCTTCCACTCGTGCTTCTTTTATTGCAAAAGAAAAAGAACTTATCCCCCGACACCTTCAGCTCTCACTAGGTACCAGCAGCCTAGTTAAAGTGAACCCAAAGTCTTGGATCGTAGTCTCGGTTGTTCCATTTTTTCAGCTGGGGTGGGTTGGTTATGGTGGTGGTGGTCGATAGCTGAAGGATGACGTTTTTTTTTTGGTGTGAGGGGCATTCACTTGGGTCCCGAACACACACGATCGGGGGGATTTAGAACGGAAACATGAGTGGGAGAGTGGAAAAAATGAGTTAACCAGTCACGAGTTTCTCTCGTTCCGAGTTGTTCCAAAATTTTACGGCGTTTTTACCTGCGCGATTTCTTCTGATCCATCATTTCATCCTTTTTCTCTTGGACGAGCGTGTTTTAAAGATTCAATCGAATTCTGATGTGATAAGAGGAAAAAATCAGACGGTTTTTCGCTGTTTTCGGTCGTCGTTTTTCGTCCCGGGGGGTTTTCGGTTTAAATTTTACTCGGAGGGGTTTTATTTCCTTTTATTATTCAGTTGAGTCGTTCCGCTCCGTTCTTTCTGATTTTGCAGACACTCGGCATTCCTCGCGTGGAAGTGGATTCGATCGTTTTTAATGCGGATACGATTATTTCTTGACCAGAACAAGGTGGTGTTTTGTTCGTTGTGTTTTTTTCGCCCCGGCCCGTGTTTTGGAGAGACGAGCGAGAGGAATGATTCATAGCCATGTTTTCTTTTATCCTGGATATTTGGTTCAAGATTCATTTTTTTCGTGGGAATTATGAGTTAACGCTTTTCTTTTCCGGTTTGGCGGTAGGATGAGACACGGTTTTCCGATGGAAGGCGGAAGTGCCCCCTATACCCCGGACGTTCCACATTGTTGTCATCATCGCCAGGTTATATTCGGAGAAATTTCCGCATGTCTCCTCGTTGGTTTTTTGCTCTTTCGCCCTAACTTGGACAAGAAAGGAATTCCTCCGGGCCTGATTTCATGAATAAATGCAAGAAATCAATTCCTATTGTCTTATGGCATTCGTCATTTACCTGATGACCTCATTAGAGCTTCAATCTCTTGAAGTGCGAATCATGGATGAATTGAGGTGTGTCGACAGAGTTCGTCACGTTTTGTCAGCATGATCTATGTTTTACGCGTTTTCCTTACGGTGAAAAGCTGTTATATTCCTTGAAGTGAGCTTCGCATTTGCGTTATCAGTTGGCTTGAAAATCATGAACCCTGCCTGGGTTTCATTTGAAATTTTGAATTACATTTAGGATTCGGACCTCTTGTTTGTATTTTTAAAGATGATGAGCACTTTCAGTACTGGTGAATATTCAATAAGGACAGTTCTACTCAGCTTGGGACAGCTGCATACCGTTATCCGCAGTATTCCCCGGAATTGCTTGGAAGCTTCAACGTCGAATGGAACTTGCATTTTTAAAGTTTTTTTTTTCTTCCTAAAGACATGCATACGAGAGAGTCATTTCTAATTCAATTCTAGCATCATTTTCACAAAATTTTGTATGATCGAATCCCTCAAAGAATGCGTTTTGCGAGAATGACAATCTGCTTTATTAAATTTAATGCAGTATGCGGATAAATGAACTTTCATAGTTCAGCTCAAATTTACCAAATAATTGAGCAAAAAAATCGTATGCAAACTGGTGAAGTAGTTTGTATCATTTTTTATTTCAGGAAACTCTAATACTGTACGTTATACGAATCAGTTACCACTGAAGTCAATGACGCCTGGGGGAAAACACTTTTTACAATTCTTAGAAGACTCCAAGAACATGTCAGTAGAACCAAATGAACCTTGATAAGTTCTGTGAGCAAGAATATTTTCAGTCTTGTCTAAAATACCATTCTTTTGTGCATGATCTACTACGATTCTGCAAAACTTATCGGGTTACAAGTAAGGATATCTTATATTTCTGACACGAATTGTAAAAAAAAAAAAAAACTTCGATTTCCACATCCAGCTATCATAATTGCCCACAGAAGAGGATATGTGGTGGATGAAAAAAAAGTATTGTCTTCAGGCGGTGCATAACACTTTTTTATGCGGAATGTTCACACACCAATTCAACAATCCCTGTACAATGACATTATCGGCTGCAGTCCACTGAACACTACAGTGTACCGAGAGTCCTCAGGAGATCTATCGAACAATCGTGCACCAGGTTAAGGTGTACAGACGATATATCAAGTCGTGTCACTTCTTCCAGGCAAATGATAATATTCAAGATGGCTTCCTTTGCCTCGCGTGGGCTTAGGTATTGATACTGGCAGCCACAACAACTCTCTGAAACTCCTCATAACTCATCCTATTGTCACCGTCAGTGTCAGCCTCTGCAATCATGTCCTGGATGTCACTCTCTGGGATAGACTCGCCCAGCTGGGTCATTACTTGCGAGAATTCCGAGGCCGTGATGAATCCGTCGCCGTCCTTATCAAAGAGCCTGAAGACAGCCTTGATTTCTGCGTCGGAGCCCGTGATCTCAGTCACGGACCTATCAGAAGCGTAGGAGATGAAATCCTGGAGTCGGATTTCCCCGTCGGCGTCCAGCTGCAACCGCTGCAAGATTTCCGCGATTTCGTCAGTGGTTGGGTCGTAGCCGAGGCTCTTGAGCACTGGTCCCAAGTCTGCGGCGACGATTGTTCCTGGATAATAAACGAAAGAGATGCTGGATCATTAATTGGTCTGCAACCCCTGGTTCGCAGACTGGCGCTAAGATCTGCTGTAGTTTTTTGCCAGTCCCCAGGAAATTTTCTCCAGCATTATAAATCTGCCGAAAGCAGCAATGAAAAACACGAATTATCTTTGTCTGGAATGTTGGCTTTAAATTATCCTAATACTACAGAAAAAATGTTCACTGGAATGAAATAAATTGTTTTAATTTTTCATTCTGAGAAACCTCCCTTCAAGCCAACCACTCCATTTTTTGAAGACATAATTCCTCTACAGCTGATTCATTGATTCTTATGCTAAAATTGTTTTGAATAACTCATGAATTCTATCAAGTAAAACTGTCCGCAGAAAACTTTTAAAACTTTGCCAGTTTGTTAGCATAAATTTTTCTTCTTGAAATTTTGCCAGTCTGAAAAATGTTTTATAGAAATTTGCTGGTCCATGAGCCAAAAAAGGTTGGGGAACACTGATCTAGATCATATTGAACATCCACATTTTTGCAAAAATGTTGTGGCTATATTCTCAATTCTGGTGGGAGGAACATAGCATGTACTGTAGTTCCCTCTAGCTCAGCATGATAGGATCTCATCAAATGGAGAGGATTTTACTGCATTGATGATGCAAATACGCAAGTCATCGATCGGGTTCTCAGCAGATGAACTTTTATTTCACGGCTATACTTATTTCAATGGCCCCTAATACATTTTGAGTTCTCGGACCAGCTGTAATCCAGCAGCCAATAAGGCTGTTGGATGTCTCATTAATAAAAAAAAAAACTTCCCCTCATTTTCAGATGCAGCAGCGGGTACATCTAAATATATATGCAGCAATTGTGTACAGCACGTGTATGCATAGTGTTGAGAAAACGAACAAAAATTTTCAAAATGCATTTCTGTTGAATCAGAAAAGCTATATAAATGTGCAGCAGAACCAGACGAACTTATGTTGAATTAAATATATATAACTTTTGAAAGTACAAAATACATTCAATTTATTGGCTAAACTGATTGGAATAGTGAATCCTCAATTTTGACTGTTTCCTTTATTCCTTCCTCAACAATCAGGACACATTTTCTGTTTTGTTTTCTTTACTACTGTATTTTAAGCAATAAAATTGAATCTTTCGATGATTTAGACATTGACGAAGTAGATAGAACAATTTTATGAATAAAATAAATTTCTAATCAACAAGCATGCGTTGGGGTCCTACACCGCCGTACTATACTTTAGTGCCAATATACCCAGTGAAGTATAAGCATATGCGTCATCTGTGAGAGGGGGTATCAAACTCTTTTGTGCGCTATGGTACCATGATGGCAAGAGGTCATTGTAAAGGTTCGTTCACCTGCGGTTATACACTTCCATTATTCCTGCATGGTATAGTGCGGATCATAATACTGTATGCGATAAATAATACCACTCGATTAAAGGCTGGAAATGCCATACATATTGAAATGCATGGCTGATACTTGCCGTAATGGCGTAAATGATCTCACTTGTCCGATAAGAAGGCGTATACAATACGATTATTATAGTACAGTATCACCTCTCGTAATTGAAACTGCTGAGTTCAACTGCTGCGTAATTCATAATAGTATAGCTATGCTGATGTAAAGTGGAAAGACTCACCCTTTCCGTCCTTATCATATGATTTGAATGCTCGGGTCAACTCTGCCACCTTCTCCGCGCCCAAGGTACTCATGATGTTCAAGCAGAAAAATGTAGAATTGAATAAATACACACAAACACACTGAACGGACAGAAACTTCGAATAAAAATTTTGTAGCGAGAAAATATAAGTCACGCTGTTCTCTAAAGAATGTATTGCTCTGAGGCTTCGCGGAATCACTTTCATAAGGTTATATTATGAGAACGACATCTGTACTACAAGAAAAAAAGGGAACTGAGAGGAAGCGTTCTCTCAAATCGCATGGGGAACTTGCGTTCGCACATGGCGTCGCGCCTCTGATTCTCTCAATGTTAATGTGAAACCAATGAGAAATCCGAAGTGTTGAACAGTCAATTACGAGCATTACCTGTGTAAAGAGCTACTTTGAATCATCTAGCTCCCCTCGTGTAGACCATCGATTGATTGAAGTGTATTCTGTTGTCACCTGATCGATCGTTCAGATTTAATGGGTGCGAAGCTTGTATGTGATTTGCTAATTTCCGCAGATCGTGCTGAAGACGCGTGATTACCTTCAAGATGGGTAATTCTGACAGCAAAACGCGTACAGTTGTAATCGAGAATGCTGCGCCCATTATGATATCCGAAGCGCTGCGTGCGAGAATGAGTGCCGGGTCTGCTGTGAATGAGCACAAGTCTGACGCCGAACACAGCCCCGATGATGTGCGGGTTGTGCCGACGCAAGCTGAAGATCGTCACTCTGGCTTTTACGACCCGATTGACCGGATGTCTTTAGGAGAAGAAACTGCCCTAGCCTTGTTGCGAATGCGAGAAGAACGGGACAGAGAACTTGCCCGTATGCAGAACGACTACGCCCAGAAGATCCGCAAGGCGGAAGACGACTTTGCATCCATTAGTAATATCAAAGAAGAGGAATATACGAAAGCTCTGAAGGAAACTGTAGAAATGTTTGACAAGCCGCGAATGCTTGCTTGTCCCGACATGGAGAAATCTGTGCTTGACTGCTATAAGGCTAATCCCACGGAAACCTTGATTTGCAGTAAAATCGTCGCCGAATTTCACGATTGCGTCGCGACGAGAAGAGTGCGTGATGCCTTAGAGCACAAGAATTCTCCTGCTCGTTCTGGTTGATACACGTGATAAGAGAAAGTGTTTGTAGTTATCCGCATGCAAGGCAAGCCGGGGTAATTGACCTGTTGTGGAGTCGTTGAGGTTTTTGGCTGGATGATGAGTTCGGGCTTCAATATGAGGCGGGAGAGAGATTTCATCTTTTTTCCCCGCTTTAGCAAAACCTTGAAAATGTTCAGTAGAAGCTGATCAATATTTTCTGTTCTGAGGAATATTCATTTCGCGATCGTGCAATTTTTTTTGTTCATCAGTTAATAAAGAATTGATTTGGTTTTCCGAAGAATTGCGTCTATTATGAAGCGCGCTGCAAGTTTCAAATTGTGAATATTTTGATCCCGAATTAATTGCAATGTATGCTGATGTTAATTTTTGGTAATTGATTGACTGATTCTCCCGTCTACAGGGAGACTTTGTGAAATGGAAAAATTACCAGCAAGCACGCCACGGACGGTTTCCGTCGAAACGACGTGAGTGTTCGTCATTGAGAAAATTTCTTAGTCATTTGAGTTGCAATTAATTATTTTTCATTTCGCAGAATGGGAACTTTTACTGTTGAATTGTATTGGAAACATGCACCTCTAACGTGCAAGAATTTTTCCGAATTGGCCAGAAGAGGTTACTATGATGGCGTTAAATTTCATCGGATCATCAGGGATTTCATGATTCAAGGAGGGGATCCGACGGGAACTGGACGTGGTGGAGCGTCTATTTTCGGGAAAAACTTCCAGGATGAGATTCATCCCGATTTGTTCCACAGTGGTAAGTTTGATTTGAATTCATTTTTTATAACTCTTCACGCTCAATATACATCAAATTGTCGCCAAATTTAATCACGTTTGAGTGATTTCAGTCCAAGACACGTGATGTATACATTTATGCATATTGTTGTAGCTACTCAAGTACCACATGCCTTCAAACTAGATCCGCGTCAGGGTTTTTCCGTTAGAAAAAAAAAAAAAAAAAAACTGATGAAATTATATCTCCGAGTAAGACCCTGCTCCATGACTGGAATATTATTCACCCGAATTTGAATTAAGAGTAGAATAAAACCTGAATTCAACTAATTCTCGATTATTTCCTATAAAATAAGTTTTTCTGTTAAATCTGGTCCAAAAGTTTCGGACCAGAATCAAGTATAATCCACACCTGAACTTCAAATTTTTGTTGAAGAATGTATACCTGCCTATGACGCACACCAGATTTTTTCTCTCTTGAATTCAAGAAAAAAAATTGAAAATGTTAAAGTAAATAATGTAGAGAATTTAGATGATATGTAAATGTGAAATTCTTAGAGATTATGATATAATTTATGTCAGGTTTGGGAAAGTTGAGCGAGGTTAAAACAGATAATACTGTAATCTAATTTTTCAAAATTTCGGATTTAGGCGACAGCTGAATGAATGATTGAAAAATAGGGCAACACAGATAATTCTTCGAGTCATACGCATGAACTTAGTAATGATTTCTTTACTTTTATTTTTCAGGTGCCGGTATTTTATCTATGGCAAATAGCGGGCCAAACACAAATGGATCCCAGTTCTTTATAACCTTGGCTCCGACCCAGTGGCTGGATAAGAAACATACAATTTTCGGTTCGAATTAACATTTTTTCTTATTTTTTTTCAAAACCAAGAAATGTTCAGAAGTGGTCTTTTGTTTACAGGACGGATCTCTTCAGGATTACAAGTAGTGCGACGCATTGGGCTAGTAGAAACAGACGGTGATGATCGGCCGATCGACGACGTCAAAATTGTCTCTGCTACATGCGTTTCTTGACATTTTTCTCATGTACCTTTTTTATGCTTTTCGAGCCAAATCAATGCGTGGAAGTTTGCGGCATTTTTTACTGTGCTGAAATTCAATTTTTCGGGTAAGATATTTTAATGATATCTCTATTCCCAGTTCCAGGGTTCAATATGGCATTTATTACTCGTGGCATTTGGTTTTTCAAAGGATTAAAGGAGTACACCAAGTGAGTGGATCATGTTCAGAATGTATAAAAGAACCCGGGAATGGCTGTATTTAATTTTTAGATCTGGCTTCGAAAAGGCGAGGGCGACTTTCCGTCCAGAGGACTTGGATGACGCGGACATGAACGGTCACACAGTCATGATCACTGGGGCCAACAGTGGAATTGGGAAATGTGTCGCGACTGCTTTGGCGAAATTGGGTGCAGAAGTCCACCTGATTTGCAGGAATCCCAGCAGTGCTGAAGAAGCCAAGAAGGAGATCTCTGCTGCTACTGGCAATCCTGTGAGCTTTTTTCTTGATGAGTAGACTCTTAATCTTTTCCAGACCTCTCGGAAATTACTTTCGTATACAGTAGTGCATTGAAATGAAAGTTTAACCCAGGAAAGAGAAAGCAATCGAGAATAAAGTATAAAAAAAAATAATATTTTTTTAATTTTGATCGGTTTAAAAAAAAAACCAATCCATTTTCTGAAGTTCATTATGTACTTCGAATTTGTTTGTTGTTGGTCCCTCCATTAGCGACTTGGGGAAGTCCAACTATATTGAGGAATTTTATGTTTTACTTTTTGCAGAATGTTCACATCCACACTCTGGACATGTCGTTGCCTCGAGACGTGACGCGATTCGCTCAATGGTTTGTGCGCGAAGGCAAATCCCTGGACGTACTCGTCAACAATGCCGGATGCATGGTTCACACCCGGCAGACGGATGCCGACGGACTAGAGCTCAATTTTGCCACGAACACATTGGGCACGCATTTGCTCACAATGGGACTTCTGCCTGCACTCAAGAAAGCCACGAACGGGAAGGCGAGAGTTGTTGTAGTGTCATCTGGTGGCATGTTGACGCAGCGGCTGGACGTGAACGACTTGCAGACGGAGAAGAAGGCGTATGATGGTACTGCTGTCTACGCGCAGAACAAACGGCAACAGGTCATTATGGTGGAGCTGTATGCCAAAAAGTATCCCGAGGTGTTTTTTGCGTCCATGCATCCTGGTTGGGCTGACACCCCTGCCGTCAGGTCAGTATTTACAATTTTATCTATGTAATTTGTTGTACAGTAGAAAATTTACCTTTGTTGAGATTTAAAAAATTGTTTTCCTGTCGTCTAAATTTATCATAAAGTTGGAGCTATCACGTGAATGTGTCAAAGACTTTTTAATTACGTGTACTGGTGCAGTATAAATCATTTGGCCTATTACGTATTTACATCTTTTTTCCAAGAAATTGGCGCAAGAAATTAGGTGGGCGTCATGCTCCGATAAAATGTTCGAATTTTTGAAAACCTTTCTTCCCATTCTTAATTTTTCAGGGGTATCTTCTTGAAATTTACGATGATTCGTATGACCATAGTTTTCCGAATAGGAATTTTGTATACTATAGATATTACAAGGTTTTCTGGAAAAATGAATTCCAGAGATACTTTCTTTTTTTTCAAAATTACAACTTGAGACTTGATTGTATGACTTTCGATTTTACAGATCAGCGATGCCTGGATTCTATGAGAGGATGAAGGACAGACTGAGGACTGCGGAACAGGGTGCAGACACTGTGGTGTGGCTATCTGCAGCGAAATCGGCCGTGGATCAACCTTCAGGAAGCTTTTTTCAAGGTGAAAATGGCCTCTTTTTGTAAATATTGAAATGCCCTATTATTGACAAGTCATGTTTCATTTCTTTGAATTTTTTGAGTTATTAAAATTTAATCTACTGTACTTATTTACTGTGTATTTGCATTGTTTACAGATCGGCAACCGGTTGCTACACATCTCCCGATGTCTAGAACTAGGGTAACTCCGGCAGACGAAGAAAAGTTGATGACAATCTTGGACGAATACTACATGAAGTTCAAAGAGTGAAATTCCCCCGGAGCGCATCCCGAGTGCCTTGATAAGGGCATGAAACGATCGCTCCTACCTGAGGCCGAATCGTGAATATTCTGAATCGGTATTCTTTTCTTTCACGGAAGTAAGCAAAAGCTTGCTTATTGGGATTTATTTTATTTTATTTATTTTTGATCACCGAGGGTTGCTTACGTTTGACGGGTTTGAAAAACTGCTTCACGTGATGATGGACGGAATTTTTTTTTCAAGCGTTTGGTTGTGTGTGCAAAGCTCAAAAGATACATTCTTCAGCTCGTTTGTGGTGGGTTTCATGGTTTGGAAAAATGCTTTTGACCAATTTTCAATCCTTATTTTTTAAAACTTCTAATGCTTGTAATCATAACTTGACCATATTTACATAATGATGGAAGAGATCAGAAGCAAAAATGATTCTCTCCTCTGTAACAGGTGATTGATTTGAGCTCATGAAATGCGATCAGTTCTATCATGGATGGAAAATTATTTACGAATAAAAGATAAATTGGAAATTGACCAAAAGTTGAACTGTGTTACGAATATATTTTCAATTGTTTTTGGAGTCCCCGAAATTTTCGAAGATTTATTAATGGCTTTAGACCACATTTTGACTCACTGGTTTATGCATGGGCTACTAAACCTCCAACAAATAATTATTTTGTAAGTTTCGAATGAGAAAAAAACAATGTGAAAAGGCAAGACATTTCTGGCATCGTCCAACAGCAAGTATTCGACGTTTGGGAAGAAAATGTTATTTTTTTATGATTCCTCAAATTTTCTCCCGTTCAGTTGATTAAATTTATTCGGATAATGCTAGAAAATTTCCGTCTCTCTTTCAAAATTTTCTTATGTTCATTCGACGCATGCACATTTCATAATTTTTTTATTATTATTCGAAATGTTCTCGCTTTCCTGGGTCCAGTAGTGCTTGTCTCCTGAATCGCCAGAAGTGACGTTTTCAAAGGCAGAAGTTTTAAGGGTGCTGGTTGGAAAATGAATATCTATCAAGGTCAAATGCCTGGAATCTTAGGTGGCTCCGAAAGCATCTGAAAATCGTTCTTCATTTTAATAATAGTGTGTGACATTTTTTCTGAGAAGCTGATGATTTCATACGTCTTCTGTAATGAAATTTTTTTTCGTTTTTCACTCAATGTGAACAGAAAATTGGGAGGAAAATGCCGCGAGTGAGAGCGACGCCGGTTCGCGTGTCAGCGTCGGACGCAGCTGCGCGTGGACTCAGTTTAATTTCCTCGTCGACTCACGGTGGAGCAGCGGCGGCGGCAAAGAAGAAGCGCGGTCGTGGCGGAGACGCGGCGCCGCCGCCTCTCGCGGCGGTCATTCCTGCAGACGAGACGGCGTTGCTGGAGTTGTCGCGACGTCTGCAACTGACGGAGTTTCACGTGGCCGTCCGTTGCGCCGACGACTCAGTTGCTACTCCGCGAGCTTTACTCGGCCGTGTCCAACTTCCGACGCTCGGTGAGGGCGAATCTTCTTGTTTTTGTCGTTTTTATTTCCATGTGGAGTTTAAAAAAATAAAATAAATAAATATATATATATATATATATACTGTATATATATATAAGGTACATACAGTAGCAATATCTCGTTACAACGAAGTCCCAGGAGCACGATAGAATTCTTTATAACGAAAAATTGTTTGCATTGATATGATTGGGTTTAACACATTTAAGACTGGTAAAAGGTTAAAAAATGCTGTGAAGTGCCTCTACAACGAATAATTCAAGACCTGTCGTAATGTATAAGTCTCTGATGAAATGAAGAGGAAACTTTTTGAATACTTTACAGTATTTCCTGTATTTACTCAAGTACCACGCGCACATTTTTTTCTCAAAAATTACAGGAAAAAATGGGGGTGCGCCACATAGACGGGTATACTGTACATGCTTTTAAGTGTGCACTATATTTGATCCTAATGAGAAATTTGGACCAAGTTCTACAGGAAAACGTATTCTATTGGTAACAATTGGAAATCGGTCAAATTCATGTTCAAATCATGTCTAAATTCAATTTTGAGTGCTCTTATTTTTGGATTTGTGTGACTCTAAAGTCACTAAAAACCAGATGCGCATCTTAGTTGGGGTTAGAATTTCATCAAAATACCATAATTGTTGAAAATTAAAATCTGGAACAGTACAACATTAGATCCTATTAAATAAAATTGAAAAAAAATTGCGGAAAGGGAGAAATTAACTTCGATGAAAATTCCGATGTGTCATGCAGGTCCACAGCAACTTTTGTGAACTCTCGCCAGTACTTGCATCCAAGTACAGTACTGCCGAGTTCAACGTCCTTCGCAATATTTCCTTTTTTCGTCAACAGGCCAACATTTCGTGAAACGAGGCACAGACCTGGATGTGTCCCACGACGAGAATAAACTCGAACAAGTGAACCCTGTTTGCTGCCTTGAAGAAAGGGACTTGTTCGCCGAGTGTCGTCGTCGGGGGAAAGAAGCCTGGTTGTACGTGAGTGCATTGGAGAACGAGTCTTTCATCTACTTTGAAGGAGATGAACCCGTCGACTGGGATTTCATCTCGAAGCCGACGGTGGCGAAAAGTGGAAGCAAAAAACGGCGTCGAACGGACGAATGGTCCTGGGTCCCGTCTTGCTCGTTTGGTGTCGTGCCTGTCGCTGGGAATTTGCCAATCGTTTTGTTTGATGGTCAGTTGGGGAAATGTTTTCTCTAATTTTTACAACGTTTATAGGTTCTGTATGAATCCATAGACCGTGATTAATTAAAAAAAAATATGTGGGTTGTCCCAGTCAGACGCGGCCTGTGATATTTTAGAGTAGATGCCATGTAAAAAAAAATCGTGACAAAGCCAATAATGTTCTAACTTCTAAGGTTGTGGATTTTTTTTCGGATTTTTGAAAGACTTCTTCGATCTACTGCGTGATGAGTGAAAACTTTCCATGAACAGCCGGAGTTCTCCACTTATGTCGTAGGGTACCAAACATTTGTCAGGCCGCCTAAAAAATTGCGAATTTGTTTTGTATTAACCGTAATATAAAATTTAGAAAAGATAATGAATAAAACAGCAAAAACTTTCAATTTTTTAGGCGGCCTGACAAATTTTTAGCACTCTGTGACACGGGCGGAGAACTCTGGCTGTAACTAGAAAGTTTTCACTCGTCATCATGCAGTAAATTGAGGAATTATTTAAAAATCAGAAGAAATCCAGGAACTTTGAAACAACATGAGCTATTTCAGGATTTTTATTTTCACAATCATACCTACTCTAAAAATATCAGAGGCAGCGTCGAACAACTGGGACAACCTTCGCACTGTATTTTCGAATGCCGCCTCCGAAAATTTGTGTAGTTCGGTAAAGCTACTGAAACAATTGTTATTGCATGTTTTATCCCTTGGCTGATCGTTTTCATCAAATGAGAAATTTTCTTCACGTCGGATTATCTCTTTTTTTCTTTCAGCTTTAAAAATGAAATCTCAATTCACGCTTTACCTCGTTGACGAAGATGGTCCGTGTCTACGGGTATTTCTCAATGATTCTCAGTTGTTGAGTGATATCGATCCTTGTGAAGATGGTGCATCTCGCAATTTAAAAGCACTTATCGCATTCCAGCATTTCTTCGGGATTTCTTCTCGTGGTGAGTGATTTTTTTAGGACGCTTTCTATTTTCTGATTTCATTGAGTAAAATGAAGACTTCCATCAACGTCCAGTAGTAGCTGACTGGAAAATAATTATTTCAGCAATACGCATTTTAAATCCCGAAAAATTTTGGGCTGACAATTTTGATTAGAGAACAACCTAGCTGGCAAAAAAGTTCAAATTTACGTTAAATTTTCCTTCGGAAGTCATTTCAGTGGACATATTTTGTTGAAATTTTACATTATTGGTTCTCCTCGTTGATTCGGTGAAGTTGGACGAAAATGTCGCGTGGAATCCAAATTTATTTCGGACTAATGAATGTTCGTTGTGAAATTTTGTTCGCAGAATTCGTCCCTGTGTCAGACGTGGACACGAAGCGTCACGACAATGCGAGTCTTTATCGCCAAGTGAAAGAACGCCATCGTCGCAACGCCGACTACGATCGTCATCGAAACTTCCCTGTTCGCCACTGTCAACTCTTGCCTAGTTTACGACCGTATCAGGTCGATGCCGTGCGTTGGATGCTGTCTCGTGAAGATTTCTTTCCTGACGACAAGAATGACGTCGATGAAATGTCGAATGATTTCAAATCTGCTGAAAAATCAAAATTTTCTGAATCTCCCGCTTTTATTGCAAAAGTGGATGAAAGCCAAACCGTTTCCTCATCGAATGCTGACGCGAATTCTTGTTCTAAAATCGAAGAAGCCTCGTTTAGCAAATTTGAATCGCTTGATGACAAAAATAACTCGATGAATCACCCTTTGTGGCAGCACTTGACGCTTCCCAACGGACTCGACGTTTTCCTCCAGCCCTGGATGGGCTACGTGACGACGAAAAAACCGGTGCTTGCCAGAATCCCCCGTGGTGGGATTCTGGCTGACGAAATGGGCCTCGGAAAGACCGTGGAAGTCCTGGCCACAGTTTTGATTAATCAACGACCGAATCATCCGTTGTCGACGCTGAGCAGCGTCAAGCTTGAACCAATATCGTCGTCGCCTGAGGAGGAGCCGAAACCGAATGATCTTCAATCAAATAACGACGCTGTCGAAGAGGAGCCAAAACCGAATGATCTTCAATCAAATAACAACGCTGTCGAAGAAAAGAATGATTCGTCAGTGTCGATTCCTGACGTCGTTTCCACTGAAAAGACGGAAGTGGAGCCTGAAGTGGAAGTGGTTGAGGAAAAGCCAAAACGGAAAAGGAAACCCGCTGCTAAAAACCCCAAGGCCGGGAAGAAAATGGCCAAGAAGGGGAAGAAAGAGGATAAGAAAAAGAAGAGCAGTAACAGAGGGGAGCTATTGAAAGCTCTGCAGGCTAGTTACCTGATGCAACTGAGTGCCTACAATGGCACCAGAGCCGTAACCGAAAGCGCGGCGAGAGCCGAAAAAAATCGCGGGTTCTTTGTCACGAAAGTGTCGCGTGGTTCCGAGCGGAACTTCGAATGTCTGTGTGGAAAAGGTAAAGCATTTTTGTTCAAAAGATTTTCCTCAGTTCATACAAAGTCCAAAATCATTCTCAATTGTCGAGGAGTTAGTTACATTTAGCGTCATGAAAAGTGAGGGGTCCATTTTATTTTCACGCGCATTTCAAAATTGAAATTGATGCCGAGTGGAGAAAGAATGACGGTGGATGACTTATTTCGTCAATGATTGTGGTTCGTTGTCAGTTTTTTTAGCCTTTCCGCCTTTGCAGCATTAAAAAAAAAGAATATACAGTAAGTTGAATTAAATTGTTTTGTTTTACAAAATCGGTCATCATTTTTGCGCATGGAGATATGTGATCAGAATCTTTTGATACTATATATTTGTATCAAAATCTTCTTCGGTGTCCAAAAAGAGGAAATTTTTTTCGCAATGATAGAGAGAGCATTTTTTGGTCATCAAATTTTTATGAAAATTTATCGGGAGGGCGTTAAATTTCTTTGCAAATGTATCAGGAAGAGTTAGAAATAATTGCGTAAGGCTGAAGGAAAAAAATTAGTCATCACATAAAGTTGAAAAAAAAAATTATGGCAATAAATAGTGGAAGTGAGGAATGAATCAACTTACAGTTAATAAATTAATCGTGATTGGGACTGCCTTTGACATCTTAACACAATTATTAGATTATTAGTATGGTATTAAAATTGACTCGTTGGACACAGGAAGAGTGGGATACCTGCATTTTTCTTACCTACTGATAAAAGCATAGAAAAAGATTGGAAATTAGATTAGAAGTTTAGAATTATAAATCTCTTCACCAACAGGAAATGAACAAAATATTTTTTTTTCATCCTGAAATACGGGTGAGGAGGAATCATAACCATAACGATTTTCAAAATGTGTGTGATTTGTGAAGATATTTTCTTTCGACAGATGAAGGATCATTGGGCAAGAAAGTGGTGTGCACGAAATGCAGCCTGGCGCAGCATGCAGCCTGTGTGGACGCGGAGCACGAGACGAGTGGCTACATTTGTCCACATTGTCGGGCCAGTTGTTGCGACCCGTTACCGTCGGGGGCGACGCTCATCGTGACGCCGGCGTCAATTGCGCACCAGTGGGTGGACGAGGTGAACAAGCACGTCTTGGGCCTGGACGTGCTTATGTACAACGGACTTTTGCGACAGGGCTACATTTCACCCGCTGCGCTGGCCAAAAAGGACGTGGTTATTACCACGTACGAAGCCTTGGCCCAGGAGTTGAGGTGGGTCATCCAGTTCTTGTTTCACTTCATCCCTCTTCGACAGGTTTTGCTGATTTTTTCATTCAGGGGGATTAAAAAAAAGTTTTTTTACTTGTCTGATCACATTTTCACCCCACATGGATGAATTTCATCGTATAAGTGTATGTTCTCTTAGTTTTTGTTCCTAATTTTAACGGCGTATATTATCGATATAGTTTGAGCAAATCATTTCATGTTTTTGAAAGAAGGTCGTTGTAGAGGGAGTTCACCTGTAGCATCATTACTACTATTTTTATTCTGAGAAAATATTGTACAGGTAGTGAGGGGAATAATTCACGCACCAATTTTTGCCCGAATTACAGTATATTACTGTACTTTTCTGTTGATCGGAAAAAAGGTTGCGTAGTTCTTATATTTTAGGGTAGGGATTGAGGCGACACCTTTCCAACACTTCGTGAAGCAGTATGAAGAGTGAATACGGTACAGTATTTTAGTTTAGAGGTTGAGGCAGCATCTGCCTAACATTTTGTGAATTAGTATGAACAGTAAATACTGTTCAGTACAGTAATTTAGGTTGGGATTGAGGTGACTCCTGTTTGACATTCTGTAATTCACTATGGAATTTGACTTCTTTTTTGTATTGCATTTCAGGTATGTGGACCTGCAGCACCCGACGGACGACGGAAGCAAAGTGCTCCGAGCGCCCAAACGCTATATGACGACGCCGAGCCCGATCACGAGCGTGGACTGGTGGCGGTTGTGTCTGGACGAGGCGCAGATGGTGGAGGCTGTCTTGAGTCCGACGGCGGTGATGGCCAGAAGGATCCCTGCCCAACTGCGCTGGTGCGTCACCGGGACGCCGGTGCAGAGATCCTTGCGTGACGTTTACGGCTTGTTTGCATTCCTCGACGCGGAACCCTGGGCCAGATGGCGTTGGTTTGAGCAGCTGCTGCTGGTGTCGAGTGTGGACTTGGTGGCGGCACTGGCCCGGGTTTTGTGGCGTACCTGCAAGAAGGACGTGTTGCACGAGCTGCAGATTCCCAGTCGGACGGACACGGTTCACCGCCTGTATTTTTCTGCCGTCGAGGAACATTACTACCGATCCCTGCACTTGAGGTTCGTGATGCATTATTGTATGGAGCGAGAGGGTTTTGAATATTTTTTCAGGAAAGGACTGCCGTGTTTTGCAGAAAGATAAGAGAATTGATCATTGATTGATTCATTATTCTAACTCCATTTTCAGACCCTGATCCAAATAGGTTTCCCAAAAGCCCGCAAAATCAGACCAATCGGAGAATGTCTTTATCCCTTGCCCACTCCTTAATATTCTTGATGAACTTTCAATGGATTTGGTAATTTCCCTTGTCATGATGATTTCTACAAGGCCTGGATTTTTTTTCAGGAAACAACGGTGGCAAAAAATTATTTGATGAAGAAAAAAATGTATGAGTATTAGTATTACTTGGTACTTGGAGAGGAATTCGTGATACATATGAATGATTTTCCTTCTTTGTTCATTAGATTGAATGGTTTTGGTGTCGATGGATTTCATAATTCATTCGTTTCTTTATTTGTATTCAACTTAATTTCATGTTGACTTACCGTATTTACTTGTATATCGCGCGCTCATGAGTAAGACTCACACACACGTTTTTCAGTCTAAAATGTTGATTGAATTGTATCCCCAATTACTACATGCACACCATTTTCGAAGACTCTAAAGCAGCAATATTTCAAAAATAAGCGCACTCAAATTTGAATTTAGACACGAATTGAACCTACACTTCATTAATTTTTAATTGTACGTTTTGCAGGTGCAGTCAGGCAGCTTTATCAAAGATCGCTTCGCTTCCGCCACAAATCCAACGGGCGCGACTCGGAGAACTTCATCCTAATCTGGTCAAGAATCTTATGGCGCCACTGGCGTTCCTCCGCTTGGCGTGTTGCCACCCGAGTCTAGTGACATCTAGCGGCGACGGGGCGCCGAGGCGAGTCGTATCGCGTCGTGGAGTCAGGAGACGCCCGGAGCCCGGGAATGAATTGGCAGTGGGCGAGGGATCGGCACCGTCGTCGTCGGCTTATTACAAGTGCGGATCCGTCCATGAACTGCTGGACCAGTTGCTGAGGCGGACCAAAGTGGAGGCGGAGGAAATGTTGCGGTCAATTGCTTCTGCCGCCAACGGCTTGGCTGGACTCAGTATTTTGAAGGAAGACACGGAGGCCGCTGTGGCACAGTGAGTTATTTTTGTTTTTTGCTAATATTTTTATTCATTTATTGACGATGGATTTTTCTTGATTTTGAGTGAAGAAGTCGCGTCTATTCATTCAGTTATTCGAAGATCTCTTTTTTTCCATAGCTTGGCGATATCGTACTGAAGACGCGAAAGATATTGAAAAAATGTGATTCAGAATAATTTATAGCTTATACAGAAAGTATTCCTGGAAAAATTGAAGTGTTATCTTCCTTTCTGCTATCATGTGATTCGTTTGACGCATTTCCGTTTTGAATAATTTTGATTCGTGATCGGTCTTTTCCTGGCATCTGCGATGAATGTGCCCGAGTGACTAATGAGAGTAACCACGGATGAGGGGGTTTTTACTCGTGAATTTTTTTAATCTTCGAGAATTTTCCCAAAAATTGTCTATTGTTTTTACAGGTACAAGCTGGTGTTGAAAATGGCGAGCGAGTTCGAAGAGTCGCTGCACATGGATAGCTTTCAGCGGCTGCACGCTATACAAAATTTGTGCGAAATTTTACCCGAAGGCGAGGATGATAAGGTCCTGCGAGATAAGGCGGATGCTATTCGACTGCATTTGACTGGCAAGGCCAAGCAGGCGCTTGCGAAGGCGCAAAATGCCCTAGAAACTAGTCGCCAAGCAGTCGAGAAACTCAGGGACGAAAGCGCGGAAGAACTCGGAAATCACATCGTGCAGGTATATCACGAAGAAGTATCTAAACGTCGGGGGGTGTACCGGTATTTTCTGCTTAATTTCTTCTTGGACGAGCTTGCATGGCATTTTCTAAATCTTCGCTGACGAATTTTGTTCCGTTTGACCTCAACACCGGGTTTTTCGGCTAGGTGTCGCCTGAATCTCTAGTCGGGCCAAAAAATATGCACTATACGCAGTGTTGAGTATTTCACCTTAATGTGACCTTAACTGAACTAATGTGACCAAACTTGCATAACGCAATCTATAATTTATTAAACAGAGCCTGAGAAAGTTTAAGAGCGTTTTTATTAAACTGTACCTTTGCGAATGTGTAGGTGTCGCCTAAACTTTACTCTCTTCTTGGTAACTTTGACTGTACAGTATTATGCATATAAGGTTACATTGGCTCAGTTCAGATTAGGTCAGGTTAAAATTATCCTGTTTGGTCAAACAAGTGATTCAGACGACACCTGCCCAACAATTCAGGAAGGAAATTTGGTTGTTTAGGTGAAAAAAGAACAAACAGACCAAATTCAATGAAATGTTTATTATGATAGAACCCTGAAACATAAGTAATTCTTTTTTTTTCTTTTTGAAGAATTGGCTTGGAATGATACTGCGTCCTGATGCAGACACGAATAAGTTGCTGGCGTTCATCGAAGCAGAACTGGGACTGGAGAAAAAGCCGTCGTTCGTGAATGAATTTAACCGTTCCCGTCATGTGTCCCGTCTTTCCGCACATCTAGGTTGGGAAAATCGCGTTTTATTGCATTTAAAATTTATAGCTGACATGTTACATAGATCCATTCAATTCTACAGTACGACTCGAACCTAGCAAATTTCCTTTTTATTGTGCTACGTTTTTCCACAAATTGGAAGCATTTCGAAAGTTGAGCAGTATTCAAGTTTCGATGCATAAATGGGCTTCAAAGTCCTCAAGTATATATATTTTTGTACCTGCGCTGAATATCATTGATTTTTTATCTTGGTTTCAAAGTTTCAATTTTTCAAGTGCGCTAGTTGACAACGTGTTGATATTTTCATGCGAAAAAATTGCAGTAATGCGCCAAAAGCCAGGAGGTATTTCGGAAATGTTGATATTTTTTTAACTTACTTCAATTCTGTAGAAATTTTCTGAAATTTCCTTGAAGAGGTTTGCCAAGTTTTTCTGGTTATTCAAAGCTAATCTTTTTTTTCTTGTTTTTGTTTTGCTTTTGCAGGTTCGGAGCTTAACAAAGCAGAAATTTTGCGCACTGAACTCGTGGCACTCATGGAACTCTTGGCGGGCAGCGAACCTCGGCAACTCGTCACAGCAGCAGTCGAGTGTCACTTGCGCCCCGAACCCAAGCCTGAAAAGAAGAAGACTCGAGGAGGAAAAGGAGAAGATGAAGAAGACGATGTTGATTTTGATGAAGAAGAAGAAAATTCGACGAAAGAACAATGCATGCTTTGCGATGCGCACGATAAGTTGGAAGAGTATGAGGAACTGTTGTTTGATGTGCGAGACAAGAAAAAGGGCCACAAGGCGACTGACGACGTTACCTTGTTTGGGGATTTGCGGCGTGCGACTTGGAAGCCATCAAAGGTCTGTAACATTTGTCTGCGCGCGTCTTTTTCATTTTATTTCATTTATTTAGATGAACAAAAAAATAATAATGCGTCATGAAAAGTTGTCAAGAACGTAGAGAATACGAGGGTTGGTTCATACCTTTCGTCAGTGTCGTGCTTCCACTTGGGTAGAATTCTAGATAATTTCCGAACGGCTGTTCCAATTTTTTTGTCATCGAAGTTAAAAAGAAGGCTGTTGAAAATCGACCTGATCTAGCGAAAAAATGAGGTTCTGTTTGAAGGAAAAAAATAATATTTGCAATTTTTTGTCGGATGCTCAATTGTTCGATAATGTCAATTGCTGAGAAAAAAAAAACCCAAACCGCCGTTTGAAAATTTTTTTAGCAAATCGAAAAAGAAGGAATGTTTTGATTCTTATTAATGATCCCGAGGTGTTTTGGAAGTGAAAACTTCATTGTAGCTTTCTGACAAAACTTTTGAAACATCCCTTAGTGTAGTTCGAAATCAATATTGTGAATTAAAAAACAAAAAATGTCGGAAAGAAAGTGATGTTAATTTCTCGGGTTTCTCGTTTCTCCAGGTCGACGGTGTCATGAAAGCAGTGGTGAAATTCGGAAGGCAGTTCAGTTCCAAAGGATGCGAAGCAGGAGCGGCGTGTCTCAAAATATCGGAAGCTATGCGGAAAGAGTTTCGTCCATTGCGAAACGTGTGGAGCTGCGTGTTCGACTCTGTCAGTGTCCAGGACGAAATGACAATGTGTGTGTCTCGTCTGGAAATCGGGCGACCGGAAGACTTCAAGACCAAGAAGGGAAACAAACAAAGACCTGCGAATATCGTGTTGCCAGCAGAAATTGACTTGCGAGCCGTCGAATTTGTGGTAATTAATCTTTTTCATCTTCGGGCATTTTTGCCGAAGTGCGAGGGATCATTTAAACGTTTTGCCGTTGATGTAAAATTTCTTGAAATTTAGTTTTTTTGAGAACCCAAAAGGAATTGCAGGATCATTAATGATCCTTGAAAGAAGCCCCTGTTGATTTTGTTCAAGATTATCTGGTGAAAGCTAAGTGAACCTCGCGAATGTTTGAAATTGAAAATGTCGTAAAAAGTGTCTGGAGAACCAATATCACGGATAACCAAACGTCGAAGTAGTAAAAAAAAATCATCTACACAATTATTCTGTCTAACGGAAATTGAAAACCTTGATTTGGAATTGCGAGGGATGTTGACGCTTCGTTTTCTTTTTGTTGAATCGAATAATAAAAAAAAACTGGAGAAAAACGTGCTGAAGTGATGATTAATGTGGCGTCTGTTTCTGCGGGAGTAGAACACGAAAATTGCGAGCGAAGAGCAGTTGGTGAGGAAGCACGCCCACCTGAAATACCTGCGTCACCTGAAAGCATCCGGTTTCGGATCCAGTCGCGACTCGCACAATGACGAGCCGTGTCCGATCTGCAGACAGGAGCTGGGACGGCAATGGGCCCTCTTGCCGTGTGCCCATTGCTTTTGCCTCGACTGCTGCGAGGCCATCATGCATCGGGCCAGGCTGGACTGTTTGCCGGGTTCGAATTTCAAGTGTCCCGTGTGTCGTCAAGTGGCGTCGAGGAACGAAGTCTCGTATGTCATGAGTGAGGAAGAGGAGAAGGACGTGAGTGGAGGGAAGAAGGATGAGGAGGATGAAGACGAAGGTCTCGACGTGGTCGTCGGGGATCATTGCACGAAAATTCGGGGCTTGGTGTTGCAGTTGAAGCGACTTCGGCGGAAGGATCCCGAGGCGAAGAGCATCGTTTTCTGCAGCGTAAGTCACTCACTTGCCTGTTTTTTTCTTGCAATTAATATTTATTATTGCAGCATTTATTATAATTCTTATTTTACCTCGTTTTTTAATATTTTTGTCGGGTCTTTTTTTTGTGCCGCTGAAGTGGCATGCGATGTTGGTATTCGCGAGGAAAGCTTTGGAAGAAAATGACATTCCACTGAGTTTCTACGCTCCTGGTCGCCAAGCAGAAAAACCGCTTCGCCAATTCAAGGTAAAATGAAGATTTTCCAGAGAGACATTAGCTGGTGTTCGTCAGATCACCCTTATTGAAAAACATTTTTAAAATTTAGACATTCCAGTTACAGCTCAAGAAAAAAATAGAGCTGTTTTCTGGTCTGTACTATTCAAAACAGATTAGCTGGGCTTGTCGAATTTGATGGGGCTCTTCGAGTCTAAAAAATTGTAAATACCTGAATTGATTCGTTTTTATATTACGTTTAATCGGAGTAAACTAAAATTTGATGAATTCACACTCCATATCAAAAATTCTTTCGCAATTCATAGTTCTTTTTAGGTTGGAAAATTGTTTTAAAAATAATTTTTATCACCATGTTTGACCTTGCTGTCCGGTATTTCAGCCAGGTGTCGCATGAGCTTGATCTAGAATAAATTTCCTTAAACAATAGAAGTAAAATTCAGGCGACACCTATGCAAAGGAAAATAAACTCATCGAATAATGGACACTTGGCTTCGGAAAACAAGTTTCATTCTTCTCTTTCTTCATCTTGAGCCAGTTAATGGACTGAGATTCCGTGTTGTTTTTTGTTGTTGCGCTAGTGCCATCTTGGCAGAAAATGCAGGTGCTCATTGATGTTCATGTATTTTTGTACATATCTTCATCAGTCTGATCCAAGAGTGGCCGTGTTACTGATGCATACTGCTGCTGGCTCAAAGGGGCTGAATCTCACTGAAGCAAATCACGTCTTTTTCCTGGACCAATTGCTGAACCCAGGGCAAGAATTGCAAGCGATTGGCCGAATAGACCGAATTGGCCAAACCAAGTAACCGCTTTTGAAGATTTATGAATAACACTTTTGAATAAGCTGATTTTTAAATTTTGATATGTGACGAAATCATGGAAATAATCTGCAATGAGATTCCGATGTTGGTGGGATTTAATTATTTCATTTCATGTTTTCTCGAATTGTCAATTGTTCTTCCGAATTTTCATCGATTCTTGTGTTTCATGAAAATGCTTTCGGAATATAAAATTTGCGGAAGAAGACATTCGGGAAATTGTTCAGTTGCTGAGTATCTATCGAATTCTTTCGAATCCCAATAATAAATTTAAGTTCGTGAAGCAAGTTTTATTAATTTTTTCTAGATAGAAATACCGTAAGTTATTTCAAGTTTTTTGATTAAAAAATTCTGAATGAATTTTTTTTGTTGAACGCATACTTTGATGATTCTTTGACGATTATTATTATTTTTTTAACGTAATCCATTAAGAAAGTACGGATCATAAAAATTTGGTTAGGTTGTAATGGAACGTATTTTATCCCTTGGATTAAAGTTCACGTGGCGATTTATTTACGCCGTGAAATGCTTTCATCATAAAAATATCACAAGTTTTACAGCGTCAATTTCTTATTCTTTTCTTTAAAAAAAAGGCCGACGTTCGTGCACCGATTCGTTATAGCGAGAACGATTGAGGAAAGTTTAGATGCCATGTTGCAGTCGCACCGCGACCACCACCTTCCCCCCCAGCCCAACACTGACAACCCCCAAGGCTCCGACGAGGAAGTGCGGGTCAAACACAGAGAAACGGAGGAAGAAGGAGAAGAAAAAGCTGAAGACGGCGACGACGATGCGAACAGCGACACTGCTTTAATGATCAATCCGAAAATACGCTTGGCGGAGCTCAAGTCCTTGTTCACGGGACGGGAAGCTGATCCGGAGGAAAACTCTTGAACATTTTGCGAATTACATTTTTTTCTACAGTGGATACTGTACTGTGATCACGCGATTTTAGGCCGCATTCTGATTTTTGGGCATCATTTGAGTGGAGGAAATGGGATCGATGGTGAACAAATGGGAAGTTTTGCGAACGATTACGGCCTGTGCTATGGTAAAAACCGTTGCAGATGCTAATTCACGATTGTTTTTTTTAGATGCTATCTAATCGCAGGTGAATACTCCGATATTTCTAGGATGAACCGCAATTTTTTTTGTGGGTAAAAGTGCGACATAACATCGCGTGAATACGAGTGCAGTATTTTTTTTTCTTTTTCAAGTTGTCACGGATACGTTTTTTGCATTTTGGGAAAGTCAATTGAAAGTTCGCAGATTGCTTGATGATTTGTGCAGGGATGTCGATTGAAGTTCTCTTCTTGTCATTTATTTTTTCCTCAGGCGGGGTGGGAAAGAAAAAGAGGAAAAGGGAAAGTGTGCTGGGGGTGATTGCGGTTGTCGGTTGGCCGCCGCCGGGACGAGAAAGGGCGGTGTTTGGGAGTGAGGGTGTTGAGCATGGGCGTTGGGTGGGAGCATGGTGACAGGCGGTAGTGATGGCGGTGGCGGCGGCGGGCGGCACCGGCGGCTGCGGCTGGAGGAAGCGGCGGCGGCGGCGGTGGTAGTAGCAGCCGGGCGCGGCGCCCGAGCCCAAAGCGCGGCCCGCCCCATGGCCGCCGCCATGGGCATGACGCCCAAGGAGCTGTCTGACTTTGACGACCTCGTCACGGCCCTCGTCCTCGACCCCTACCTCGGATTCAAGACGCACAAGATGAACCTCAAGTTAGTTCGAAAAAAAAAAAAAAAGTATATAGCGGACGTATTTGGGGCTTAAACCTTGTCCCAATTTCAGTGCGTCCACGTGTTGGATCACGTTTTCCCGTAGATTTCAGTGTGAACGTATTTAATTGGTTCTCCGGTTTATCGAAAAAATTAGGAACAAGTCCCTCAAAAAATCGAATAAAAATTGTTCCTCAAGTTGAAGATGCAGAAAATGATTGTGGAGAAGAAAATCCAGAAAATCGGATCTTTTATAGTAATATCTAAAGGAGCACGATAAGTAAAGAATGAATACAAGTATTGCTCTTCTGTGCACAAAAGATGGAAAAAGAAACCCCAAAGAAATTAGCACAAAATTAGCCCGTTTTTATTATAAATTTTAGTAAATTTATAGTGTTTTTTCTACTTTTTGTGAATATAAAATAGCTCAGTTTGTTCAAGAGATATCCAAGTTTTGAAAATCCTTCTTCTAGAAATGCTGAAGAGGTGTGCGTATCTCGAGACATCGTCCAGATGTTGGGACAGATTTTTTGAGATTCAAGTGTCCCTAAGTCGAATCGTCCGTATGACGGGGTCCTACTGTATATTTAGAGAATTTTGTTTCGAAAAAGTACAACTTCGCAATTGTATAATGCATGTTACTCAATTCACTGCATGGGTTTTTAATTTCAATGAGACGTTGTTCAAACGATGGTAGATGTCACTTGTAGTCACGATGGCATTTCAATGTTAAACTGAGTTATACTGTCCAAGTTGCTTGCGTAGATTGAATCCCGGGTTGATCCTCGTTATTTAGTGGTAATCCTATTTTACATCGGCTTCAGCTTCAATTTTATTTTAAACCTTTTCGGCACGTTTATTACAAGTTTTGATGCCCGTCTCCGGACTGTTCTCCTAGGGTTTGATCACGCACTAAAATTCTGAATTTCCACGGTTCGCTTATTTAAAAAACAAGTTTTTATTCATAATGCGACGGCTTTGATTGATGGATTGATTCGCCCTGAAGGTTTCGGTCACCAAAGGCCAAGACGGATGAACTGAAGAAGGTTGTGTTGGAGTTCCAGCAGCATCAGGACTACGACAAGGCGTATGCGAGCGTTGCCTCCAAGGACTGGTATCCGTCTTTATTTGGTGCCAGGACAGCTGCAACATTCACCGCCCGACAAGCCTTATTTAAAGAACACGTAAGAACGGGCACTTTTTTATTTTTTTGGTAGCTTCTTTTAAATTGTCATTCCTCCTCTCTCCAAGAATGTTGAAACCTCATTTGTTGGTCCTCCATTTTTCCTCTCAGTTTGAAGCTCATTTTGTTTGGGGAAACGTAAACTCCAGATGATGTGGATTTTGTTTTGGGTACTAAATCCCACTTTTGATTATGGACTACATAGAAAGTTATTATTTCTCTGGAAAAGTGAAGTTGCCGAAAGAAATGCGGCCAGTATCATTTCTTTTAAATGGATGAATGTTTTTTTGACATTATTTATTTTTTTTTAAATGATCTTTTTGTGTTTCTTCTTTGAGTGTTTTTATCCTGTGATCCTCTCATGTTTTGTGTTGAACTACGTACTACAGGTGGAATCTCTCTACAACAAAATTCAGGGACCAGGAAAAGCTGTTTTAGAGAGAACTTCGTTGTAGAGAACTGCTCTAGGACCCCCAACATTTTTCATGCAGAAAAAATCGTTACAGAGATATGATTTTACCTGTATTCATTCCTCAAGTTCGTGAAGAATTTATGGAGAAAATTTTCGGAGGTTATCAAACCAATGAAGCATTCCTTAAAAGCAACAACGTCATATTAATCAACTTTTTGAAGATTTGGAGCCAATGAGCCTTACGCACAGCTTAAAATTACTCTGTTCATCGATTATTTGGCTAACAGCCTTCCAGACAGTAGAGTGTCGATTGTCATTAATCGAGACACTCGTTTTCATTGTCTTCTTAAATTTTTTTTTTTTGCAGCTGTTCCGGTATTTGCGGATCTTCGACAAGGCGAGCGGGTTCACGATCGAGCCGTGCACCCGGTACTCGATGGAGGGCCACGTTGGGGGCCGCCTTGTGGCGACGCGGATGTGGGAGAAGAACCAGAACATCGACATGCTCGTGGGCTGCATTGCGGAACTGACTGAGGAAGAGGAAGAACAACTCCTGCGCCCCGGCTTGAACGACTTCTCGGTCATGTACTCGTGTCGCAAGAACTGCGCCCAGCTCTGGCTCGGCCCGGCCGCGTTCATCAACCACGACTGTCGGGCCAGTTGCAAAGTATGTTTGAAGTCTTGAAAAAAACAGCAACTACGAAACGACTGTTTGTTCCTTTATCCCCCATCTTTTTTCAAAGAATTCCTTTGTCGGGAGCGATATTTTGAAGAAAAAGAGAGACAGAGAGGGAGTAAAGATACGAGAGGGCTCCTCGTATGGTGCTAAAATTGTTTCAGGCCTGCTAAAATATTGACGTTTGTCATTTTTTATTTCATCCATCATCTTTTCTACGTTTTGCATAATGGGTTAAACAACAGAAAATTTAATTTTCTAGCAAGCCCGAAAAATTGTTAGCAACATTCTAAAAGTTTGTCAGGCCAGCGAAAAAATTGAAATTTTTATGTTTTACCCTACATTTTAGATAATAGTTAGAACAACGAATGGTTAAAAACAAGAAATTCCAATTTTTACCCATCCTGAAAAATTTTAGCGCCCTGTGATATGATTGTAGAACTCTGGCTGTAACTGGAAAGTTTACATTTATCAACATGCAGTAACTTGGAAAACTTTTTTTAAATCCGAAAAAAAAAAAAGAATTGAGCCTTAGAACATGGGCTATGTCATGATTTTTTTTTCTCACAACCACACTTACTCGAACGGTATCTAGAGTACGCGTCCAACGGGGACAACCCTCGAACTTCAAAAGTATTTGAAGGTGTTCTTTCCGGGATAAGTTGCTAAAATTTAATTCTTGTACCCGCACTGTTTCTTTGAAAATTCCGATTAAAAAAACGAAAATTTTGCGGCTCATACATAAGTACTGTGCTACGTTTTAATGAGCTTTATTTGTCAGTTTTGCAATGGAAAAGAAAACTTGGGTTGTGCTGATTTTGTCAAAGCCAGGATGAATTATTTATGCGAAAATTTGCATTCTGTTTTTGCAGTTTGTTGCAACTGGGAGAGACACGGCGTGTGTGAAGGCATTACGAGATATAGAAGTGGGCGAGGAAATCACGTGCTTCTATGGCGAGGACTTCTTTGGTGACGCCAACTGCAATTGCGAATGTGAAACGTGCGAGCGGTGAGAGAACTTTTAGATTATTTGCAATGAAAGCGACAATCTATTCATCAAACCGGTATACTGTGTACGCTTTGTTTGTGTTGCCCAGCAGGCGAGGAAGTGGGAAGTTTTCGGTGCGATCCGCAGACCTAAATGGTTCGGACGAGAAAGAAAACGGCTACAACCTCCGAGAAACGGACGGGCGTCTACATCGGCTCCGATGGGACAAGATTCTCGGCGGCGGCAGAACAACAACCGATGCTTCCTCTCAAGTCTCTTCATCTTCCTCATCATCGTCATCGTCATCTTCTGGGACTGGTGGCGGCGGCAAGTCAGGTTCAGCAGCAACTGCGACGGCAACGCGAAATGGTCACAAGCCGCTGCAAAACGGCGGTGGCGTCAAGTCAGCTGTTGCTTCTGCGGTGGCGTCCCGAAAGCCGGTGATTGCTCGCGCGCGGGCCGATTCCACGACTCCGCTGGCCCGAGTTCGTCGGTCGCGACGGCGGCGGCAACTTGAAGAAGAGGAGGGTGAAGAAGAAGAGGAGGAAGTGGGAGTGGTATTGCAAGAGGTTGAGGCGGCAGTGGCGGTCGAGGTGGAGGATGATGCGCATCGTCGGAAGGGTGTTGATGTGAAGAGCTGCGAGTCGAAGGAGAAGAACGAAACTGTACTGGCGGCGACGATCAAAGAAAAAGCGGAAGAAAGGACAGTCTCCGCGGCGGCGGCGGCAGTAGGAGCCACAAGGAAGTTGGAAGAGACGGCAGTGGTGGTGGCGGCAGCAGCAGCGGTGACGGCGACTACTACTCCCTCACCGGCGGCTCCTGCCAAACTAAAGCTGACTCTGCGAATGAAGCGTAGTCCGGTGCTGGACGAGGTCATTGAATGCGGCCACTTCTTGTCTTCTGCCTCTTCTTCATCGTCGTCGGCGGCGGCGAACCACCAAGTGTGTCAGCAACGGCGAGCCCTGCTCAGTGCCGCCATGTTCCATCCCGAGTACGAGGTGCTCAAGATGGAGGGCATCACGCCGACGGCGCTTCGACAGCAACAGCGGAGGAGCAAGCACAAGCGGAACAAGCATCACCGGAAGAAGAGGAAGCGGAGGGAGTCGCCTGTGTGGACGCCTTCACCGCCGCCACTGCCGACGGACCTGGAGCACGTGTCACCCAAGCGGCTCAAGTTGATTGTAGGCGACCTCACGCATACGATTAACATTCCTCCCTGAGGCGGCCGGAACAACAAAAGACTCCTTCCTCCTCCTCCTCGTCCTTTTTGTGCATGCGCGCGTGTGTGTTTGTGTTTTTTTTTAAGCCTTCCGTTTCCGGTTCCGGTGGCGGGAGGCAGTTGCTTGCATTGATGTCGTCATCGTGTCGAGCGATTCCTGAAGAAATCCCTGCGGTGATTGGGTTCTTTTTCAAGTGGCTTCCACGTGCGGCCATTGCGGGGAATTTCCAAAATTCGACGTACTGTAGTCTCCTTCTCCTCATTGAATAAGAATTGATGCTTTGATCTTTGAAAATAATTTCAGCAGAATTTCACTGAATTGATTGGATGTGGCCTCGCTTGAATTAAGGCCAAAGATGGTTGTTCTTCTCAGTTGACTCTTGGATACTCAGTACGTGAAGGTCTGAAAGTTTGAAGAAAATTTTGGGATGAACTGATCGCTACTTGTTTCTTATTACAGTATCTAGTTATTATCTTTGGGAGTAGTTCCAATTCTTCCTTTCTTCGTGATTTTATATCTGCATAGGAATGGATGCATGGATAGAAACGGAAGAATTTTACTTTTCAAGGAAGATGTGGGTTCTAATATACACAACGATTTATTTTGCTGTGCTTCAAAGATTGTTCCATCAAGCGATTAGGATCAACGTTATGAAACTTGATTGGTTATGTTTTCTCTCCTATCGAGCCAACTTTCATTATTTCCACTTTAAAATTGTGTAAAAACAACTTGCTAATCTCTTTTTGCCACCGATTAAGGTTTGCTATTCTGTGACCTCCAGTGTTGAATTTAAATATTTCCCTGTTTCTTCGGTCGCTGTCTATTTCTATGATTTTTAAAAGTTAAAATTTGATTGATCAGATCATTTTGCGGTAGTTGAAGAAAATTCTTGAAATTGGGTGGCAATTGTTCGGAGAAAAATTCGAATCATTCTTTCAATTTTCTTCAGATCTCCAGACCTGTCTCCGCGTATTTGAAGAAGAAATGAAAAACTCTCGTGCGTGGAGCCACTAAATTAGAACTCAATTAAACGCAGGGTTGCCAGAAGCGTGAATTCTGACTGATGATGATGAACCGATGACAAGTGCAGGCCTGGAATGAAAGAACGCAAGAAAGGGAATAAAAGAAGAAGAAAAAAACTTGATCTCCCCGCACTTCGCGAAACAAAAAATTGGAAATTTGGAGATGAGAAAAAAGGGGGAAGTAGGAATGAGAAGGGAATGAAAAAAGTTGAATTGCCGAGACATTGTTGCGAGGGGTATTATTTGAAGAAGACGAAATGATTCTGCTGTGATGCGCTGCCCTCGTTGGTTTGTTCAATCTTCCCTCCCGAACTTGCCCTCTCGCGAATTGTGAATTGTTGTAATTTCTCTTTTTTTTCTGTGTGATTTTTTTGTTGTTGTGCCCGGGCCTCTGCTTTTGATTGAATCTCCGTTTCCGCCGTGGAAATAGACTTGCTTTCTTTCTGGATTGGAAAACGCGAGGCTAGAAGAGCCGGAGGCCATCAAAGAATTCAGTCTCTGAAATGGATGATAAGCTAATTGTAAACCCAACTTACAACCTGGATTCTGGGAAAGTTGAATAGAATACTAATCACTGAATTCTGAATGTCCCAAGAACTCACTGTGCAGGTTGGAAAATTTTTTCTTGCGGAATTGTGTTATTACTGATAGATGTCGTTGGCAGTTCCTACAGCCTTTTGATTCCACTCTAAGACGTTCAGTTTGATTTGCTTCTGTATTGCTTTTGTGTATTGTAGCATACAAAAGCTTATATTTTTCAGTTGCAACTTTTGTGAACTTAATTTGCGTTTATCCTTGGTTAAAATTATTTTTTTCAAACCTCTTAGGATATTTTCACAGAAAATGTTTATTTGCACGACTTATTTTAAAATGCCGATTTGATTGCAACTACTGATCTTTTCCACTGCGCAATGAATTTTTGGATACCGTGTATTGAGAAGAGTCTTGTCAAGCGATTTGTTGAAATTCCACAGTGTTGTAATTCTTTGTTGGGTTCCGGTGGATTCGAATGATGGCTATACGGGTCACGTTTACTCACTTATAGTTGCTCGTTTCCCCCTCTTGAAGCTTGTACAAGAGTCATGTTGATGGGATGGCGGCGGGAAGCTTGCGAACATTGCTGATGCTCTTTCCATTTTATTGTCATGAGCATGGATCTTTTTCTTTTACTGGTGGAAATCCTTTGACTGCTCGGACGTCGATTGTGCGGGATTCCTCGGAATGTTTCCACAGTTTCACCAGCCATTGAAGATGTGTTTAGTTTTTGTCTGGATTTCATTTGTCGCTGGGGATTATCTGTTTTGTTTTTCTTCGTTTTCATGGTGAAAATGTTCCATGTTGCGGAAGCTGAAACGTGAAAAACACGAATTTCTGAAACCACTTCCTGCTTTTATTTTAAATAAGATTCTTGCTGCGGTTTGATTGTTAATCCAGCGTGTATGATTAGTTTGCCGAGACAAATTTGAAGTTCTTCTTTGAAGTTCTTGTAAGCCTTTTTTGAATGAAGAAATTCGGAGCAGTTGACTTCATACATAGAGAGGCATACTGTAATCCTTTGAAAGTTGTAATCCTTTAAAGGAGAATCTTGAGTTGTGGTAGTTGTTCACAGCATTCTTTTTCCGTGACAATATACAAATGTACCATCAGGAAAAATCAAAACAAACTTTCGGCGATTAAAACCACGTTTTGTTTAATCGTTCCCACCATTAGTCAGGAAAAGTCGACAATGGCAAATTGTAAATGGAGGACTCAAATTTCACCCATTCATGCATCAACTGACGCAAATTTCTTTTGACCGGCGTCGCACACAACGTGGAGAAAAAGGAAGCCAATCCATCAATAAATCAATCAACCAATCCACAAGCTGAGACGGCGGTAAGACAAAAAAGCCGCCCAATCGCAAAAAGTAACTAATGTAATGTCCCCACGTTAGAAAAACAAAAAACGGAAACGTTCGCAGAGAAAGAAACGGTTTAGGAATCCTTCCTACCAACTTGCTTCACTTCACAACGCGTGGCAAAATCACGTCCGCTCGAATACGTCCTAAAAATAGCGAGCACTCAAGTAAAGAAAACTTTTGTTTTGTTTTCGAAAACAAGGAAGTAATTTCTTTTGTCATTAGCAGGATGGAAACTTTCTGACTCCCTCTTCCATGTGGGCTTCCCAAAAGTTCTTCCACCCACTCTACCAAAGTTTTCATTCTTCCTCATTGGCGAGGTGGAAGAAGGGGAAACAACTTTCCGGACAACCCTCGAATACTCTATTCCTATCGTTGCCAATTAAAAAAAAAAGTCCTGCCAACCGTCTTTTTAAATACCAATCGGCCGGGTCAAAAAAAAAAGAAAAGCTTTGACATCTCAAAAACGAGTTTCGTTTTTCCGCGCGGAAGAAAAAAGGCACGGTTTCCGCATGGCGTTTTCTCTCTCTCTCATACTTATCTTCTTCCCCCTTCCCTCGATTTTGTTCCGAAGCATTCGTTCCGAGGTGCGAAATGGCACAAGTTATTTCAAGCGAGACCGCCGCTCTTCGACATTCACGCGCGCACACTTAAAACGCACACATTGAAACCGGAAAGAAGCTTACACGCACACACAATCACACTTACACATGCGCAAAAAAGCGAAGCTTTTCTCACGAAAAAAACAAAAAAAAAAAACGCTCAAGCTGAACTCGTCTGCTGGCAGGAAGAAAGAAAAAGGGGACGGACAGACATGGAGATTTTCTTCCTTCTTTACCCATCAAACCATGCCTTTCATACAAGGAATTTCGCTTCCTGAATATTGGCATTCCTTTCAACTCCCACTGGAAGCGAATTCGCTGCATTTTTTCACAGGCGGTTGAACTATTCCCTCTGAAAGCCTCGCTTTTTTCACTTATCCTGCGCGTTTCGGGGGACACACCGACATTTTTTTGTTCGCCATCTCCTGAAATCATCATCATCTGATGTGACAAACGCACACACTTGGAGACTCTTTGATTAAAAACAACTCGACAATGAGACCTCATAAGATCAAGTAATTAGAATAAATGCTTGTCATTTTTGCCCAGAACTTCAGAAAGAAGACAAATTAAAACCTGATCTCACAAGGAATGAACCTTCCATTTCGACACTATCCACTCATAAAAAGGAACAACTCATTCCAAGAGAAAAATTCTATCCAATCCTTACGAAGATGATGCTCCACCCCAGAACTCCTTTCTTTCCTTTTGCCTGTAATCCCGACTTCTACAGTTCACAAAAAAAAAAGAATTGCTTGATGCCAGATCCAAAACGTAAAAAAGGGCAACACTGGAGTAGAATTGAGTGCAGTACTGTCCATTTCAAAGCAACAAAAAAGAGTTCATCACGTGATAAATTGCATGAAAAAATAGGATAAAATTAAAATAGAATTTAGAAAATAAAGTCGCAATTCAATTCCTGAAGAAAACATCAACATCAACTTTCTTCTTTTTTTAAATACAGTAGTGGACAAAAATGACAAACTTTCAGTACTGCCCTTCGTATACATGGTAAACCTAGGTGTTGTTTCAGGGACAGGCAAGAGAACACTGAGAACAAATAAAACTCGGCATGTCCTTCAAAACGCGCAAAATACTTGCACGTGTGTGTCATGTCAACCCATGCCTCGACCAACTCCGACCCCAAGAGGAAACGACAACCCCCAGGGAAACGGATGAAAAATCAGAGCAAGGATCCAACAACACACACGCACGCACTTAAACACTTGTTCTCGTCGGTTCGCACAGCCAAACACTGGGGGAAATAATTAAAACGGACAGAAAAAAAAAGAGAAAAACCGCTCAAAAGCGTCGGTTCGTCATATAATCATTATTATAATCGCTTTTGTTTCCTCGTCTCCCTCATATCCTATGATGATGGTTGTTGAAGTCTGCGAAGCTCTGGACGCCTGGACTGGCCCTTGGCGACGGCGACGACGACGCCGACACCGCGTTGGATCCCCCGCTACCACTGCCGCCGCCCGACGGCGGCTGCTGCTGCTGGTTCCGCTTAATGTAGAGGTGCAGGAGCTTCAGCTTCGACCCGCTCAGCGTGGCCAGGTATGGCTGCAGGGCGTCTGGCCCGAGGGCGTTGTGCAGGGCCACCATGCAGAACACGGCCGCCTTGCGAACACTGCTCTCCTCCGAGTCGTACGCCTGTCACAAAGTTAGAAAAAAGGGGAACGATAAAATTCGTGGGCGGTAATACTACAAAATGTATGCAGTAAAATCTTGTTACAGCACATTTTTCATTACAGCATAACAAACTTTTCTCTGGTCGCGGAAAAAAAAACGATGGACTAAATGTTGAAACAATCTCGCTACAATGAACTTTTCAACTTCAATACAAGACACTTTTTTGAGAAATGCTTGATTATCCAGGTAAAAATTCCCCGACTAAGGTAGGCTTATTCTGATGTTTTCTTAAACCCACTTGTGACAGACTAGTTCTTGTAGCATGGATGGAAGCTGTAATCAATGACAAACATGCTCTCAAGTGGGAATTTTTTACACCCTCCCATCCTCCCAGAATGAAGATATTGGTGAAATTGATGGAATTCAAGGTTGAAGTTGATTTTTTTTAAAAGATCACTCAGTACTTTCAACAACAATAAAAAGTCTGAAAATGGCAGGACAGCAAGATCTAATTGATTATAGGCAGGTCTGACGTGAATTTTTTTCCAGTGATCAATTTTGGTATAACAAATAATTTTGAATAATAAAATTCCTGAATTCCCCAGTTGTTTGTAGCAACGACATTTTACTCGACGAGTAGACTCTCTCTACAACATGATTAATTGAAGGGACCCGAAAAAAAGTCCATTTGGAGGGAATTTCGTTGCGGAAAACTTTCATAACATGGGGAGAGAAGCCTATGGGACCAAAAAAAATATTTCTAGAGATAAAATCGTTTTAGAGATTGCACCTGCATAACCCGCGACTAAGACACCATTTCAAAAAAAAAAGGACAGAAAAAAACGCTATCAGCATAATTTTTTTTCGAATTTAACACTATTTTTTCCCCAAGGAAATCTGTTTTTCAACACTCGCGAGTAAATAAAAACAAAGCCAAACCTCCTCGAATTACATAAACACGTCACGAAAAGCACGAATTTCAGAGAAACCATGGAAACTCCATCATTCATGGTCTCTGGTCAATTAGAGTCAGAAGCGACAACCTGGTAAACGCTCTCTGTACCTGCATCAAGCTCTGCATGACGTCGTCAACCAGGTGCTGCTGGGTCGGCGTGGCCAGCAGTCGGGTCAGGGCCGAGGGTTGGGCCTCAGCCACGCGCGTCATCATCTTGATGGCCAGCTGGTTGGCCGGGAACTCGCCCTTGCCGATCAGCGGGTTGATGCTGGACAGGACTCGGTCCAGGTTCAGCTGGACGCCCACCGTCGTGGCCAGGTGTTCCGCGGCCCGGGACACGTCCTTGTGCGAGTCCGAGTAGCCCTCGAGGGCCTGCCACAGCAGCAGTTCAATGTACTGCTCAAACTGCGGGGCCAGCGACCGGTTGGCCACCAGCTCCTCCAGCACTCGCAGGCTGTTGACTCGCATGTCTGGCGAACTCGCGCCGTCGTCCTTCAAAGCCTGGCCGGAGATTTTTAAAAAGACACCCTTTTTAATGAATCATTCAAAAGAAACGCATACAGACGGACACTCTCTCTCTGTTTATAACGATTTTCTTTCTACAACGAATTTTTTTGTGGTCGCGTAGGTTTCTTTCCTCCTGCTATACAAGGTGTTCTCTACAACGAAATTCTCTCCGCAAATAATTTTTTTGGTCCCTTGGGTTGCCTTTGACAGAGTGAGAGAGTTAACCTGTATTTATAAAATATTGAGCAATTCAAATTTTTCATTTCAGATGCGCATTGAAAAATTACGTTACGACAGTTGACTCATTCGGCTAAAGAGAGAGAATTGACAAAATAATCAACATTTAACCACACACTCAAGAGACTAGATAATTCAGAAAGCATTGAGCTGTTCAATAATTCATTTAGGAGAGATGCGCATGAAAAACATTAAGCTACAGCCCTAAAAATTTCTCAATTTGAAAGAAAAATGAGCATTTTGAAAAATATTGAGCTAAAATCGAAAAAAAATTACTCACTCGTGAATCGTGATAGAGATGAATTCGAAAAAATAACAAGCTCTTGAAAATTATCCCTTGGAGAGGGTAACGAATGCCGAACTATGAGAAAGCTTCCGTTATTTTGAAATCTTGGCTAGAAAACATATATGGGTGTAGTCACGTAAAATTTCAAATATTTAAAAAAATGTTTTATGTCACTAAAGTTTCTCATCAGTTTTTCCAATGCTTCCATGTAGCTGATGTGATGACAAATAACAATTTGGTTAAAAAAACGGCGCTTCTCAGATGTTATATAATCTTTTCTGGAGAGTCGTATTATTGTTATATTCAATGAAGCGAAGGGGGAACAACTTGAGAAAATCCAAAGGGAGTGAAATGGCACCTCAAGAAGAATCCGGAGAAGCTGCTTGAAGCAAAGCACGAGACTCCGTTCGTCATCCGCGTGCTCCGCACTCAGGCCTCTGGGCTGGGCCCGCTCCTGCTCAATCCTCGACAGCAGTTTGGACAGGTGGGCAAGGCCAAGGGCCTTCGTGCTGCCGCGCTCAGACAGTGACGCTAAAATGTCTCTCACACGGGTCGTCAGCAAACCTCCTCCTCCTCCTGGCGTCGCGATCACTAAAAAAAAATTAATACAGTAGCAGAAGAACGTTTACAAACTACAGTTGAACCAACCCAAGTAGAATTTTTTTTTCAAGTCCCCGTCTGGATTCCCTTTGAAAAGAGAGAATTACAGTTGAACCTCCGCAAGAAATTTCAAGGGACCAGCAAAAAAATTCGAATTATGGAGATTTCCATTATGAGAGGTTTTGAGTTATCCTCTCTAACTCAAAAGGCTTTTCCTCTCAAACCTACGTAACTCATATTTTCTGAGGCCTTTTGGGTATTATTTTCTTGATACTGTACAGGAAAGAGAAAAGCAATAAAAATTAATTTGTTCCGTTTTCGAAGGAAGTGGAAGACTGATCGGGCAAATGAACCCATGCCTTCAAGTTCAGCAACCGGTCATCTCATTTAAAAAGCAATTCAAGGCTCAAAAAATCACAATTTACAGTTTCCTGCAATTATTTCTTTCACCACAACAAAAATGCTTGTTTCCCTAACTCGATTTGTTTGGCTGGTTCCTCGAAATTTGACGGAGAGTTTTGACTTTATAAACAATTTGCACAATTTCCTTTTTTTTTTTTAAAGATGAATTACCAGAGATCGAATGCGGGCCCGAGTCGACGGCGTCCAGTTCGGGCGACTCTCCGTGTCCGCCGCGATCTTCCAACGACAACTGGCTAATTCCCGAGTCCTTGGACGTCGCCGCACCACCGGAAGCACCGCCGCCACCGACAGCATCACCAACTCCGCGTCCACCGCCGCCAACAGACCCAACGCCGCCAACACCACCACCCAAGTTCATCGCCTTGAAACTACTCTCAATCTCCGCCGTCGTTCGTTGCAAGCTCGCGTAAAAGTCGTCCTCGGGATTCAAGTTCTCGGTGTCTTCCCGGCCGAGGCGTCCGAGTCCCAGGGACGGCTGCGGCGACAGCAACCCCGTTGTCGTCGGCGAAGAAGTGGACGCCTGGCGCAAAGGTGTCAGGCCAATCGGCGCCGTCCTGCCCGGAAACAGCGCCGACGGACTCGCACTTCCCGCACTGTCCACACTCGCTCTTCTCGGCGAGTCCAGTATCGCCTGAATCGCTTCCTGCAATATAAAAATAAATCGACCGCGGAGAAATTAGCCCTATTCAGCTAGAAGCGGGAAATATTTTCGTTAAAATTTGCCGCCAGTCAAAATAATGCGGAATTTGTTTTCATAAATTTCGAAAATCCATTCAAACTAGCGAAATTTTCAACAAGACCCCCGCGTTTTACCACTAAACAAGTTTATAAATTTTCAACGGGAAAAAACAATGATCACGGTTTAAAATACAGTCGAACCTTTTTGAGACGAACTTCAAGGGACCAACAAAAACTTTTCTAAAAGGGATTAGCAAACAAAATACAAGCATTTGTGTCGGAGAAAAGAAAAAAGAATTACAGGAAATTTAAATTGGTGATATTCTAGGGCTTAACTTGCTTCTTGATTGAGTTGACAGGATGCTGAACTTGGAGACAAGGGTTCATTTGACCAATGGCTCATTCACTTCCTTGCAAAACACATAAAATTACATTTTTATTGCTTTTCTCTTTCTTGTGTCAATAAAATAATAGCCAAAAGGTCTCCAGAAAATTCGAATCATGGAGGTTCGAGGAGGAGAGCGTTGAGTGTTTTAAAAATAAATTAAGACAGGAACTTGACAAAAATTTGACGCAGAGAGGTTCGACTTATCGAGGTTCAACTGCATTTTAGAAATAAATCAGGGACGGAGTGAGCTTCACCTCTTCACGTTTCGACAACTGCTGCATCAACATGGTAAATGCCGGCGGGCTGTGATTGAACATGGCAACTAAAGCAGCCCTGGAAACTCGAGCAACTTCCAGCGACTTCATGTCAGAGCTCCACTGCAACAGCTTCCTGATGGCCGTCAAGGTTTCTTCGCTATTATTGCTACCCCCGATCCCAACCCTGCAACAACAAAAGGAACGCCATCCAATGGAAGAATTTCTTTCTCTCCGTGCCCGACTTAAATAAAATATACACAGATGTCGCCTCTGGGCTGACTGCAAATTTCTAGAAAACTCATGCTGCATCTACCCGAAGACACTTGCAATGAAATTTAACGTTGAAAGGGGAAAGCTTTGGATGCAGAACTGACCCAAAAGCAGCTGTGTGGCCACTTCCCTGGCCCAACAAGCGCCGCAGGTACGTGAGAGTCGCCAACTTGCACTTGGAGTTCGGGGTATGAGCACCGTCCCCCAAGTAGCGCACCAGGACAGCAAACTGGGCCTCGGGGGAGAAGGTGTCCCTCACCAGGTCCAACAACCGGTTGATCTTGCCCACGACACTGTTGAGCAAATCCCCGCCCATCTTGCTCAGCAGACGAGTCAGCAGCACGTACAGCCAACCGACTCTCGCAATCTCCTCGCCGCCGTAACATGACACCAGCTCCGTCACCTGATAATAATTCAAATAAGAAATTTTAGAAAATTAAATCTTTAGTATCGTAAAGGCAAATATCATGTAATATCGATATTTGGCCCCCACGAAAAGTCTAAAACCTAATGACGGATTTTGGAAATGGGAATTTCCGACATCCTGAAATTGTTTTTCATCTCAGAACTACACTATTATGGAGGTCTGATTTCCAGAGAGCTCAGAAAAAAATTCAAGAGTTATCAAAAAATTTGATTTTCTTCGAATTTTTTTTCGAAGTATTTTCTTATGACTTGGGCGAATTTCTTTGCATTTAAAAAATCCAAGAATACAAAAATGCACCGAATTCCAGTTGTAGAAAAATTATCTTTCTTTTAGGTTTCCATTTCTACTTCTGAACCTTCAAAACCTCACGCAAACCAAAGATCTACAGGTACCACAAAGGAATGCTCGAATTATTTTTTTCGACACTTCATTGCACTGAAGACTTGCAGAGCATCTTGAAATGTATACGATTATTATTATTTTATAAACCGCTCACGGAAGAACATTTTTAAATGTGCGAGACAGGGAATGATTCAGATACTGTACTATATTTTTTGCTGATGATGTGCTTTGCACCTACAGTATTATTTTTCTCATTAAAAATTTCCGCAAAGTGTCAAGACCGGATATCCGACAGAAAACGCACCGTGTCGAGGAAAAGCGTGAAGACCTTGGTGTGAGGGTCGGCAAACATTTTGGTGAAGGATTCCGTGACGCGTCGAAGGTCGGAAGTCGACAGCTGACGACGCGGGGAGCGCAACAATCCTTGCAGTCCAACGAGGCCTTCTTTCCGGTCCACCCAATGTCCACTCGCACACAGTCTCAGAATCTCGTTCACATCATACTAACCAGGAAGAAGAAGAAAATAAAAAGGAAAAATAAAATGTACAATTCGAAAAAAGATTTGTCAAATGTTTGCAGTCACACACACACAAAGCAAATCCAACGCTGTCTTGTCACGAAACCGAGGTGGGAGTGACAAACGAAAAAAAAAACGATCTGCCGGGAGTCCTTTCTCGGATTATTCTTAAATTAACCCTTGAAAAAAATTGATTGTTTCGAACGCTACTCAAAATAATCATTTCGATATTAATCGTAAAACTTTTAAATTCGTTAATTTTTCAATTCTTATTTTTTGTCACCCAAAGCTCAGCTCGGGACACATGCTCCCCAATTTTCAAAAAGCAGGATTAATCTTTTCTTTGCGCGTAATTTTGTAGAACATCCAGGAATGAAACATTTCCGCGCTTTTTCTTCCATAATCCTGAAGAAAGGAACGCAGAAAAAAATAAAAATATTTGGATAAAACTTTTACACAAATTATTTCAATTCTTTTGGAACGTAGAAGGCTCTGAAAATTCCGCTTCACAAAACTGCCAACTGTTCACTCCCAAATTTTTTTCTGCATTCTTCTACCATCATTTTACGGACTTCCCCGTCACATAATTCAAAGATGCTGGAACGCTAAGAGAACGTTACAAAATTACGAATAAACGGTAATCACTGTATTTTACAACTTTAAATGTCGACAACGACATTCACGATGCGTTCCAAAAAGTATAAATAATTCATTCAATATCCAATTTTTTTCAAGTGTTCTACCATTGCTTAAACGCAAACGCAATTTATTCTTCAATGTAGGCACTTCTTTCTGGCGCTGAAACAAAGCGGGTTATGGTTCAAGAGATTTCGCAGTTAGTCACAAAAAGAAAAAAACCAGCATTCATCAATTCTTCCCACAGGCCATCATCCTGTACACGAAAAATTCCAAATCTCTTCATGCGGATCCCGTGGAATCATGCGAAAAAAAGTTAATCAAATTTTTCAGCGCAAGAGGAACAATATGAAATTCGGTATTCGTGTTAGCAGCAGGTTTCTCTCTTCTTTCTTTTCCTCTCGACATGCTGCTGAAGAAACAAATGCACGTGCGACTCGTTACCTCCTCGCGTGGCCGTTCAAGGGAGTCTGAACAAATCTCGTCGTACAACAATTGCGAAGATGCCACCCACGTCAGAAGCTGAAAACACGCCATGATTGATGGGAGAATAAAAACCAAAGAGTTCAAATGCCTCCACCAACAAAAACAATCAAACTTTGCAAAATCAACTCTTCCCTGACACGCAAAAACAAATGTACAAATCACAGAAAACCGTTTCGGACCTTGCTTCCAGGAATGTCCAAGAGATGTCGCCTGAATCACTACACTGACCACAATACGTAAACGTAAACGGGATGCAGACCAAATAAATTTAATGAATTCAGGCGACACCTACGTGATGCGAAAGAAAAAATCACAGGAATTCTGATGACAGGCCTTTTCCAGTATACAATATACAATTACTGTATCTGGAAATTAGCGGTTCATTAAAAAAGTCATAACCACAATCTCGTTCAAAAATCCCCGTCCCCAAAAGGTCGAAATGAATTCGACACGATTCACACCACCATCACCACAAAAATTAAAAATTTGACTCAAAATATTTTGAATGAGATAAAAAAGAGAACTCACATCGGCAGTCCGTCGAGCAAAGGACTCGTAAGATCGATCCGAACACAAACTCGACGTTTCACTTTCGTCACTGGGTCCATCGTCAAACGCTAATTCCCCGGTTCTGCTTCTTCTCGGTCGCAACTGTTCCAGAATTATAAAAATACTAATTAATAACAGAGATGTGTTTCATTCTGCCAAGAGTTAATACAGTATTGTACGATATTTGATACGATAGGTCTGGAACGAAAATTAAAATTGTACTGGAAAAGGGAATTCCTCGACTTCTTCAATTGATACAGAGTGGAATGCTTGATGCTTCTTTCGTCACAAGAGGTGTTCTCAGAAGTTCTGCAAGTTTTAACTTTATTCAGCCCGTCAATAGCGGATAAAAAATGAAGAGAATCATTGTTTGGAAAAATTTCTTAAAATTTGCACACTTCCAATTTACTTGAACGAGGATTTCTTCAAAGGAATCTGCATTTTCTTCACTGCTTTGATTACCTTGTTCAATCGATATCTGATTACAATTTTAATAAGTAGCCTCTGTTCTGAAACATTTCAAATAGAAAATCGCCGCTTGAAATGTCACCCAGTACGAAAAAAAATATACGACAAACTTGAAAAAAAAAAAAACGAATAGTTTCCTTCGTGCGGAAATCCATCTAGGTATTGTTGAGACAAGTTGGACAAAGCCCACTTTCTTCCGCAACTCGAAAAGCTTCTCAGAAATCCAAATCACTTGAGCTGTTAATTTTCCAATAGACTCAAAAAACTACTACTGCAGCCGTCACTCATCCCGCTCACCACATCAAGTGGTGCTTTTCTGAATATAAGACTGATTTTTTCGTTTTCACATTTTTTTGCAAGTATCGATGAGGAACGTAATTTCAGATATATAGTTTTTTTGCAGTTGATCGCACAAAGAAACTCACACTCGCGGGAGAATCCATCAAAGCTGACTCGAGCGCATTCTCAGCTTCCCGGCTGTGCTGCAACATCTTCTGCGCCATCACCGGTTGCCGGAACCCGAACGCCGTCCTTCCGCCGTCTCCACTAGACAAATACCTCGCCCTGGAAGAAAAAAAAATGCCTTAGTTCAATGCGGATTCAAAACTTTTCGTTTCCCAGCGACGACTCAAAGACTGAATTAATCATCATCATCAACACAAGTTTCTCTTCCCATGGAATTGGGGTTCTCTGCAAAATATTATTTGTGGTCCCTTGAATTTCGTTGCAGAGAGTCCACTTGTATTCATTTTCCGGAGACAATTTCTATCCCTTCTTTCGCGTGAAACACTCTTAGATTTTGAGTTTTACTTGCAACCAAGGCAATCACCACTAATTGATGCAGCACATGCGGAAAACTCGAGGGTTCCAGATCACAATTTAATTCGGAGCTCCACCTCAAACAATTTCAACAACATTCAAAGATTTTTTAGAAACATCACTGCACAATTGTGTGAGGGATCGGCACACATAAAGACAAGCAATGCCGCGGTAAAACTTCTTCCGTATCACGTCAAGTTCGAACGCGTAATAATAAAAAAAAAAATGACGAACCTAAACGGCCTCGGGCCAGGCGACGTTTCCCGCGACGTGGCGGCAGACCTGGCCGGGAGCCGGCTTCGATTCGCAGACACGCCGCCGACGCCCATGCCCATCCCGGGCCGCAGCCGGCCCATCGTGGCCGAGTCCCCTGGCCCACAGCCCATGAGCGCCATGTTGGTCGTGATGTAGTTGAGTCGCGACGACGGCGAACCACTCCGACTGCCGGGCTGCGAATGCGACACCGGCTTCCGACCCCGAGAGCGTCCCAGTCTGTCCGCCGTTCCGTAAGCACCGCCGCTTTCCGACGGCTTCCGGCTCCTCGAACCTGTCGACGCTGAAAATTAAGGGATGAAAATCGGTCTCGTTAAAAATTTAAGACTCAGATTTTCTAGAAAACATTAGTCTTGAAATTCACCCAGTCATATTTTTCCAAGTTTAGCGCTTCTCAGCCCAAAGGACAAACAGAATTTGTCAATTGTTTTCCTTCACGCAGAAAACGGTAAAATGTAGTAGTATTTCATCAAATAAATGCAATTGATTTCAAGAACTGGTTCGTTGTTAGCGAAATTTGGAGTATGGGGACTTGTGAGTGAATCCGAATATCATACATGCGACTGTTCGCAGTATGGGTCGATGTTAGTAGTTTTTCTTTTACTGTTGAAGTTTTTTGTTCGCATCTAAATGCAAAATTCGCATTTGAGGAATTATTAGGCGTAAGTAAACCTTCCATCGTGGAACACTCGTGCTTTTTTTCTCTCATCCGCAGAAAATAAAACGACGGATTCAACCTTTGTGTGAAAAACAGTTTTGGTACAAAAAAAAAAAAAAAAAAAAAACTGAAGACACGAAAACATTATAAAAAAAGTGAAATGCCACAATTACTCACGGAAGATTCAATTCAAGATACTTTTGTTCACCTTGGAAACAAAAATAATTTCAGTCCGAAACTTTCAATAGTGTTTTTAAACACTTCCGGAAGTGCAGGAGATTTAAAAAAACGTCATACAACACGCATCCCACGAAATTATCACGATAATAACAAGTTATTATTCAAATTGCAACATTTAAAACAAGTATTTCCTCCGCGAAAAAGAAACAAACAGGTCTCTCCAAAATCCAAGAAACGAAACTCAAGTCCGATAATCAAAGAAATCGTCGTCCCAACAAAACAATAGAAATACACAAAACCCAGGCCAAACCAGGCAGGAAAAAAACGCCAAGATGCAGTGAAAAAAATAAAATAAACGAAACCCTCGGAATAAACGTGTAGTGACAATCGGAAAGAATAAAGAACAGGCAAAATTATCTATTTGAATATAAGACGCAATTTTTCTCGTGAAGATTGGTCCGATAATGTTCAAAATAACGTCTTGCATTCTATTTAAGAAAAATAGTAAAAAACGACGTCTTTTATTGAAATGTATAAAATACGGTTGCATTTAGGGGAGGTGGTGGTGGGGGGGAAGAACTCACGGGTGAGCGCGGACTTCATCCTGGACCATTCGGCGTACTGCTGCCTCGCTTTGGCCCGTTGCGCCGCTTGCAAGTCTGTCGTACTCGTGCTTCTCAGGTTGTTGTGTCGCGGCGTCAGGGACGTCGGTCCGTCTACATTTATTCCCCCCACAGGCACACACACACACACACGCAGAAAATAATAACCAACGCATAACACAAGCAATTCGACGGGTATCATGCATAACGAGAATATCATATCTACTTGAGTACCACGCGCACCTTTTTCTCGAATTTGAAAGGGAAAAACAATTTGACTCGTTATAGGTGGAATGCCTTTTTTTCAACGAAATTCAGGTGTGCATTAGACTTGATTCCAGTGGGACATTAGGGACCAAGTTGAACAGAAAAACTTATTTAAATGGGAACAATTAAAAATTCGTGTCTAAATTCAAATATAATCTTTCCTATTTTTTCAAACATTGTGGTTTATGAGTCACTAAAAATAGGGTGTGCGTCTCACTCGGGGATACGATTTTGTCAAAATATTCAACCGGAAAACTCTGATGCGCGTCTTACTCGAGTATATAGTGCTGTAGTTCTTCCCCCGCCTCCAGAAATTCTTCTGAGATCATACTCTTAACGGGCGATCGAGCTTTAAAATCTGCATCCAATTCTCAGTGCCACAAAGTTCGAGTGAACCAAGAAATATTCCTTCCTTCAAATAATTTAAATTCGAGCACTCCCGCGTCCACGAAAAGAGCAGACAGGGTAGAAACTAGTTTCACAATAATGTAGAAACAATTGTTCGATGATGCAGCATTTCAGCTTTTAGTCCTTTCACGGACAGAACATTTTCAAAATAATTATAGTTCACTCTTTGGTGTCTGAAAAAAATGTTTGTGTTCGCTTACGAATTGAAAAAAAGGTCGCTACGGAAACTTCAAAACCGCATTCAACGTCCTCCAAAAAAATATCCCACTCCGATAGAAAGAGATGTTGTCCAAAGAAAAGTCAAAAATCTCTATCCGCACCCAATTCTCTTCCTCTCTCATCACAGCCCCTCCATGAACCAAGAAACCAACGAACAAGTGAATAAAATGTTATAGGGAAAAAAATCAGCGTCGATATCGACTCAAATACTTGCATAATCAATTCGTTCATCGCAGCCTCGCAAAAAATCCAAGAATCACGGAAAATACGCAGCCGGAATCCCGAAAAATTCACGAGAACAAAATAAACAATTTTGAAAACGTCACAGCAAAAAAAAAGAAACGCCAATTTTTTTTTCCTCTTGCGATTCAAATTAATGGGTTAATGAATAATGGAATAATATACAGGGAGGAATTAAAACTGAATCTTTGCTAGCCGCCTCATCTGTGACGCACTTTCTTCTTCTGTCGAGAGATTCAAATTTAATTGGGAGACAAAATTCTCCCGATTAATAACTAAAAAAAAAAAGATAAATCCCCGCAACCATCTTCTCAATTTGACACGAGATGAACGAACAAGACCAACATCGTTTCATCGGCACGAAACGGGCAAATGAGAGAGAGAAAAAGAAACAGGCTAAAGAACCAGTCTCGTCGCACAAAAAAATATTCGGCAGTTCTGTGGCGACGGCTCATCCGTCACCGAACTCCTCATCGCTAAACCCCGTGGCGTCTTCGCGGCACTCACCCGTCTCCGAGCCAGCGTAGGACGACGCCGACGACGGCATTCGGTTGGCCGACGGTTTCCGTGCCGACGACGGCATCGGCAATCGTGAGATGTTCTCCACTGATCCTCCCGTCAAGGACGCCGAGGCGGCGCTGCTCGGCGGCCGTTCCGCGTACATTGAGCCCCACGCGTTGTCTTGAAAAAAAAAAAGACAAACGTTGACGATTCAATTTCAAAACGAAATGAAATCAAGCCTTAAGGTGATTGCGCCGCAGCTTGATTTCGTTCGACTCATGAGAATTATTAAAATATCCTATTGCCAAACCACGATAAGCAAACACCAATTGTTGTTGAGGTTCGTGGAAGTTTCACGGGGTTGGCGATTTAAAGAGGGTTGTTGGTTCATCGAAAAAGCTAAAATATGAAAATTAAAATATTATAAGAAATAAAATTCATATTCTTCTAGAAAACAATGAAAATTACTCTTGGATGCGTATATTATACAGTATCCAGCTAATGCTACGTCAGCTTTGAGGTTTTTTTTTTTTTTCATCGGAGAACTCTCGCAGAAACTTTGATCTTATTGGCGTGCTATCGAGGACATTTGTCAGGAGCATATTTGACTAATTTGAGTCAAAAATTTTGGCGGATGGGGTTTCAACAAGGTATTAAATTCTCAATACTTTCATCATTAGAGCAAATTTGTACAGTATTACAAAAATAACTTGGCAATTGCTGAGGGTGGCGGCATATTATCGAGATTTGACTGCATATTCAAAGAAATCTTCTCGTGGCACAGAGAAGAACGCAATAAATCAAATTTCCCTGAAAATGTCTGCCCAGAGAGGAGAGAAAAAGTATGTTTACTCGATGTAGCGACGTTCGACCGGAAACCCGGAGTGACGGCCGTAGACGTCTTTGCGGCCCCACCCCGTGACGGCAGTGTGGACGACGACGATGCCGCAGAAGACGTCGCCGTGTCTCCACCACCTGCAGACATGAGTCCTCGTTTGTAGCTCGCGTCCAGACTGTTCAGTAGTTGATCAGCTTGCACCGGGAAATGATTCGCGAATGCCCAGTACGCCCTAAAAAAAGAAAATAAACACAAATAAAATCATGGAGGACTCTACATACTTAGTGTTTCACCAAGTCGCTATTCTGGCCACTGATACTTTTAAATGATTTTCGCTTGTGCTTTCAAGGCGAGCAGTGATAAATTCAAAACTTGTTTTTTCGAGAGTTACTGAATTATTCAATTACTGTACTTTTCTGTGGTATAATATACGGTAGAAACCTAATTCTTGTGGTAATTTGTCCTCCTGTTCATCAAAATTTAGGAATCAAGTCCCCAAAAAATACAATGAAATTGTTTTCTCAACTTCAAGATGAAGAAATTAATTGTGCAAAAGAAAATCAAATGGAATCTGTTCTTTGAAGGACCTCAAGAAGCAAACAACTTCAAGAAGTCCAGCTTGAATGTCCACACATTATGGAAAAAACTATGAAAAAGAAGCACAAAATTAGCCGGTTTTTAATTATAAAATTGCGGTAATTTAGTAATTTAATTTATTTTGGATTTTTGTGAGTGTAATTAGCTCAATTTTTTCAAGAGATATCTGAATATTTATAAAAATAAAATTTTCAATTTTATAGAAATTTTGGAAAAGTGTCTCAATCTTGAGATATTGTCCAGAGGTTGGCCAGATTTTTGAGTCTCAAGTGTCCCTAAATCGAATCGTCCGTATGTCGGGGTCCCACCGTACCCCAACATTTAGTTTCATTTTGCCGTTTCCGATGAAAAAAAAAAAAAACCAAAAACAGAAGAGGAACTGACTTGCGAGAGAAGATACGGGCTTCGGGGTCGGCATCAGAGACGCCGCGACGGAGGGCATCCGACAAGGCCGACAGATGTCGCTCCATGGGGGCCGTGGGCCACGTGTTGAGGAGGTGCGCCAGGAATTCGCACACTGCTCGGCGGATTTCTTTCGACTTGTGGCTCATGCTCATTGTCAGGATCGGGATGAGCCGCGGGGAATGCACGTTCTGGATCAGGAACCGGATGCAAACTGTTCCCGACGTTGACATTATCTAGATAGACGCACAAATCAAAAGGAAAACATAAATCAATCAATTTTGAGGCAGCCGCAACACGCCCCCGCAAATAAGCTCTTATATAAATCACCATCGTTGAAAAGATCCTACGAAGGCAAACGAGGGATTTTCGAAAAGTCTTGCGGACTAACGACAAAAATTGTAATTTCCGTGATTCATTTTCAACTACTCGTAGATTGACGCAAAAATGCTTATCTTTCGGCCCGCAAAAAATCTGTGGAAGCTTTGAATTTTCAAAAACAATTCAAAGTGAAAAGTCATTTCCTGAAAGCAATTACCGTATTTAATTGATAAATATTTTCTTTTCGTTATGATTTTCCAGACAAAAAAAAATCGAAAAAATAAGAAAAAAACGACAGAAGGACAATTAACTTTGAATTCCACTTTATCTGCATAATTTCATAAGATCATGGTTTGTCTTTACTCCATCATAAAAAACAATGTTCATCAGCCTTTGCTAAAAATTCATCCGGTGGTTCTTGAGAGATTCGAAAACAACTCTGATCATCATTTTTGATCATTCATCGATCAATTTCTACCCTTTACATGCTTGGGGTCAAGATCACACAAATTTACACCATTCGAAAAAAAACGAGGCTCTCGAAAGTATTTGATTTACGAGGACGATCACAGGGTATTTCGTAATTGCCAGAATATCGCAGAAACCAGTTTCGCTTTATTCAGCCCTATCTGATCCGAAGTCTCGCCAGTTATATAAAAGCCACAAAAGCTCGTGCTTTTAGTAATAGCTCGCTGATCATGTTCGCTTCATTAACGCTGCGATTAAAAGCCGAAACTCCGAGTATAAAAAGGTAATATAGATTGTGCAAGTTGTTGGAAACTGCCGTAACGTCAATCAACGATTTCAAGGGCAGCTATTCCCGGTCTTCCGTTCACAGAAATACACAGAATATTACTGAAATCAACGGAAGTGGCCGATGTTATTCGCAAATGGCGTGATAAATACAAACGAATAGCGGAAAATTTGAAAAGGGTAATTTTAATATCGTTACAAAAATACATTTTTTTTACGAGTACTAGACGTCAACCTTCCGCGTTCATCAGCAGTAGACGTTTCTGTACTTCAATACTGTATTTCCTACAGAGGCAGCATTAAAAATTCCCCGGAAAATCATCATGATGCGATAGTAAATCAACCATGTCTCAAGAACCGTTCCGGGATATAAAATACACATCGCAAAAATTCTTCTGAACTACCGCAGTCGTTTTTCTTAGAGAAATAAAAAATATATGTATAGTCGCACGAAGAATATTGCTGTAGAAGGAAAACGGGAAGAATTTATCCGCGAGATGGATAATTTTTCAACTTTTAACAAACAAGCAAGTTTATTTTTCGTTCGACATACCTAAAAATCAATTCTTTTCTGAATGAGATCAATAAACGAAGAAAAATTCGAGGAACGACAGAAGGGGCAATCTGAATAATCGAGTTTTCAAGAAACCATTTCTTCCCATGCGACACAGAGCACTTACCGTTTTATGCAAAGCCGTCATTGTAAAAATTATATACTGTACACAAAGTGACGCCAAATTGAAAAGATAGAAAAAATTGGCAATCTTGGGCAATCAAAATTCCAAACATTCCAATTCAAGAAACAATTTCTTCGCAGTCGACACGCAGTTCTTTAACCGTCTCATGCAACGAGGCCATATCAAGAATTTTCCAAAAAAGTAGCGACGCCCAATTAGAAAGAAGAACTTTTTGCCAACCAGAGCAAATAAAGTTTTCAATTTCGTGGGAACATTTTTTTTGAACTTCGTAAATTCCGACAAGCAGCGAATAAAGCTTATACTATATATCCATCAATCTATCAAATACAGTTGGACTCTCTCTACGAAGATCTTGACTACAACTAATTTATATTTGGTCCCATAGGGTTTTCTCTCCGTGTTACGGTATTTTGTTCTCTACAACGAAATTCTCTCAAGTACGATTTTTTTCTTTCTCGGCCCTCGGGTTTCGTTGTAGAGAGTCCAGCTGTATTTTCTCCTGCCAAGACTCTCTTACGACGAGCACCACTGGTTTCATGATGTTCTTCAATACCCGCATAGATCTTCATTTAGCAAAAAAAAAAAAAAAAAAAAAAAAAAAAAACTGCGCGGGGTATAAAACAAAAAAAAAAAAAAAAAAAAAAAAATAAAAAAAAAAAAAAAAAAAAAAAAAAAAAAACACTGCGCGTGGTACTCGCTCAAATCATTATTTTTTCGGCAAAAAAAAAATTACGCAAGACGTACTTTGACCGTGTTGGGAATGAGGTTGATGAGTGGCGGAAGCAGAGCCTCGGCACAATGGTCAAACTTGTGTTTCAGCTCCTGGGCCATACACGCTGTAGTGACACAGGCTTCTCGGACAACCTGGGATCGCAGGTCTCTCACAGATGCCTGCATCGCAGGCTCCATTGATCGCAGCTGAGGAAAGAACTCGTCCGGGAAAGACCGTGCTGCTCCTTCCAGCAAAACTGCTCGGAGTTGCCTCAACTGGGAATAGAACGAAAAGTGTTCAATAAATGAATGAATGAATGAATGAAATAGACCATGTTTCATTTTTGTTCATTTACATTCATGATTATTGCACTTAGTCAAGTTATAATTATTTAATGATTCAATATCCCATGAACAAATTCTTCCCCTCTCAAATCGTCCCTGTCTCAAAGTGTCTGTCTTGAATTTTCCGAGAAAGAGAGACAGAACATTTCAATTTTCCCATTTACTAGAACCCACTCAAAAGTCAGTTCAAAGGAAATTACTTTTCATCAGATAATGCTGGGATTAACCACTCATTTCAAAGAATCCATAAAGGGTTGACCATAAAAAAAACTCGGACCGATTTTCAAGCTGCATTAGTTTCTGACTGAATGAATTACGCAAAAGTCTTTCGAAAAGGATTCTCAGACAGTTCCGATTTGATAAGAAAACTTGAAAAGGGTCGTTCAATAACAGACGTACTGACCTCAAGACTGGTCATTTCTCCAGAGAAAATATCATTACAGTACTTCCTGAAAACACCAGACCGGGATCAGAGAGACATTTTTTTACCTTGAAGTAGCACAAGGAGGACACGAGAGATTTAAGACCAGTTTAGCACGCAAGCATTCTGCAAGGTGAGCTGGCCAGAACTTTGAGAAATACGCATAAATTTGTCAAGAAAGGTCACTGTAATTCGGGGTGGGAACGAAAAAAAAAAGGCATTTGCTCCTGACGTTCATCATCAGCATCCTTGTCAAAATAGCTCAGCGATCCTTTCTACTTCGTCCAAGTCTGATAATTTGACACTGCAGTACTTTCTAGAGGGACGTTTCATGCACTTTCCAGATTTAAAAGAACTAGAGATACAGAAGATTTTATTATCTTCTTATAATTATATTCTTATAATTTCCCAGTTTCTTTGGAACTTTAAAAAAATGTACAGGATGTGCCAACTTCTATAAGCCCCCAAGCAAACAAGATTTCTGTCAAAAGAAAAGAACAAAAATGCTCGTAAAAATAATTTCCACGGGACGAACATTCAAAGGAGCTCATTAAGGGAAAAAATAATATGTTCATGCTTTCCTACTACAAAAAAGAAATAAAAAATAAAAAGTCCACTCACTCCCTCGATTCTTTTGTCCCAGTCGTTGCTCGTGTTCCCGACAGTTTCGCGAATTCGCGTCATCACATCATCCACATCCTTTCCAGAGTAAATCTTGACTTTAGGCACATCTTCGAACATCGTCATGAACTGCTCCTCGTCAATCGCACCAGACGCTGCGAAATAAAACCCCCATCTCATCAATTTTCTTTTTCCTACTAAAAGAAAAATGGAGATCCCATTTTCTTCTTTGAAAACTACTGAAAAAAAAAACTAAAAGAATTCTCGCCACACCTGCGGCCTGTGCTGCCGACGCTGCTCCTGGGGTTTTTCGCACTGATCCACTACGTGACAAGGGTCTGCTGGCATTCCCTATAAAAATTCGCAGGCAAAAATGGGGGGAAAAATCCAACCGTACAAAAAACAATCAAAAACCTGAGACAAAGCCTCTTCAATACATCAGCAAAATAAATTTCCATTCACGCCAAAAAATTCATGCTGAAAAAAAAATCGTCGGATTCAAGCATAAGCGACTCAATCTCCGCTATTGTTTGACTCGAGAATTTCATGCAGATTTCGAAGGAAAAGCATTCGCCACGGAGGTTGAACAATTCAAAAGCAAAAAACGGAAGAATTATACCCTTGCCACTCGGAAATGAACTACGGAAAGTACAAAGCAGGGTAAAAAGGACTTATTTTTTCCATCATCATTTCCGTTAAATGGTTGGACCTTGATAAAATAAAAAATATATATATCCCGTTAAAGCTCCATCAAATCACCTTCCCTATTATTTGTAATTTCATGGCTTGAGCCTCATTGGCATGACCACTTGACGAAATGACTACCCATGATTTTGAAAAGAGGCACTTACTTGACCAATTGCATTTCGAGAGTTCCAGTTTATCAAACCAATCTGTCATTTTCAAAGAAAAAAAATTCTTCAAAACGCACTACTGCATTATGATAACTCGAGTTTTAATACTTAGGCTGTACATAAACATCAATTTTTACTTGTCAAAAATGCGTCAACCAAACTGTTCCAGGGCGACATCTATAAACGAACCTTGAAGCACGAAAGAACAAAATCATTCCGAACGATTTCAAAATCAGGATATTCAATCATGGGAATTGATTTAAACCGGATATGAGTCGTTATCATCCATTTCCGAGTGTGAGGAATCGCTGCAAGTTGTTTTTGAATTTTATGATGCACCCTTTACTCTCATCCCCTCCCCAAAAAAAGTTTGCAAGCAAAAAAAAAAAAAAAAAAAAAAAAAACATTCAGACAAAAAAGAATTCACTTCTAGCGCATAAAAAAAAATGAACTCAAAGAATCCCGCTAAATTCTCCAAGCTTCACTAAGAAACCCACAATAAAAGAACAGAATATTGTATCGGAAATATAATGAATACACAAAGAAGAAGGTGAAATAAACACACGCAATTAATAATAAAAAAAACGCATCCCTCACCAGTACCAGAGGAAGCAGTGACGAGCCCGGGCAAACCGGCGGCAATCGCAGCCGCCGCCGACGGAGTGGCGCCTTTCCCCATCTGCGGCGCCGTTGCTCGTCGCACCGGCGGCGCACTAATCGCCCTCTTGGCCGCCGAAGACGTTGATCCACTCCCACTTCGTACCTAAAAAAACAAAACAATGTACTCAAAATGAAAAGAATTGTCACTCATTCACAAACAAATCACCCCCATCCATCTCCCCGGAAAAATCACGTCAACGATATGACATAATCTGATCTGATTCCCTTCCGTCGACGCAACAACAATCAACAACAGGGACGAATGGCTCAACAATCAAATAAGTTACTGATTGATTGATCAATACGACCTCGGCTGGGTCACGGACTCTCCCGCATGAAAAGGACCGAATAAACAACCTCATCAAACAACCAAACAACTCCCACAGGGGAGGTGGCCGACATTTTCTCCTCCGATTATTTCATTGCTTCCCTCACGCAACTCGAAATGACTGGATGACCCCAACATGGCCTCAAGAAAGTTTCCAGGAAGAATAAATATTCTCAGGGGCAACATTTCCAGCTAGACATCTACGCAAAAACGATAAAATGGGTGGGAAAAATTCAGTTTACAGCTCCCCAAAATCGCACAGGCTTTATATGATTTTCTCGCCAAAGATGATTTTCAATTTTTTATTCAATTAAAAATTATCCAGGAACAGGCAGAAAAACTTGCGCTTCAATTTGTGCTCAGTAATTGCCTAGTACTGTGATTTGTGTGATCCAAGAAGAAAATTACGACAATTCATTATTCATGCATTTGTATGTACTGTGATGCACTTTCTTCTCATACGCACATAGTGAATTATAATTTTTCTGACACGCCGGAATGTGTTTAATGGATGCGTACGGGCAGGAAAATGTTTTTAACTTCGTGAATGCTAAAAAGCGGCAAATAAAGCTTGTATGCCGATCAAATGGGAGAACAATGGATGGTAATAAAGTTTTCGTGGTTGTTGCTGTCACTACAGGAATACAGATCCAATTAAAAAATTTAAAAAATAACGAATATTTCCGGAAAAATTGCTCAAAAATATGTTCTTCTACATCAACATTTAGTTCAAAAGGCATTACCAAAACCAAGGGAACGTCACTACTAACAAAACATTTTCGTCAGGATAAAGTTCTTTGTTCACAAATGATTTCGTTGAATCATTTTGATATGTGGGAAAAAACATTTCATGATTTGTAAATATTATTTGAAAGATTTTCTTTCAAAAAATAAATTACGCTGGTAACTCATTCCTACCCCTCTTTCACGCTGTATGTCAAAAACTTTTCAGTATACAGTACATATGCTCAGTTATCAAAATTTACGCGAAAAAAATACGCAGAAGTAAATAGAAAATTTCTTTTGAAAATCTCAAAAATCTCAGAAAGGTAAAAGGTTGAATCGCTTCAAGCGAGAAAAATTCAAAATTTAATCTGAGCCAATTCATATTTGATGTTAGGAAACTTCTAAATGACTCAATCAACCCTTCCACAATCTTTTAATGCTGAACAAATGCATAGACAAAAAACATTAACCTCACATGCGTAAAATGAATGGGCCAACATGACTGCCAGCGACATCTACAAACGCCGAAAGAATACACACTAGTAGAGGACAAGAAAAATACTATCCATCACATCGAGATTAAAAATCTCCAGCACCAAACTACAGTAACTTTCTGGAAACCCTTTGATTGCGGGTTGAAACAACCCAGAGAATGACATCAAACTCACGCACACGGGGTTTAATATACGAAACAATTTTTGAGCAATGGTGGACTCATTTCCAGCAATCTCATATCTTTCAAGATAATGCAAAATGATATACAGTACTGTAACGAAAGATTTAAATTTGGGATCTTCAAAACGGCTCCTCGCATTCCCAGATCAAAAAGAAAATCCCCAGGGATTCATGTTTCCGATAGCGAACCTTTTCCAAGAGTACTTCCAGAAATAAATAAAACTTGTTCATGCGAATTATTAGCAGATCTAGAAAGTGACTCCGAACAATTTTGAAGAAACGCATGGAGAAATAAATAAACGAAAGTCACCCGAATCGGAATCGGCTCGGCTTCAAATTTATTCATTACACATTGAAAAAAGCATCTGAAAATTTATTACAGATTTAAAAAAATTAAATCACTCGTGTTTCAGGGACTGAGACAGGTTTTGGGAAAGCTCTCCTCTCGAGACCTTCGCCAAAATTGGATTTCGGCGAACTCGATACGCAAGCAAAAATTGGAGAAAATCACCACCGAACATTGTTGAAGGCCTTGACACAAAATCCCTCCAGCTTCGCAAACGCAAAAAAAAATGTTTCCTCAAGAAACTTTTCCACAAAAAGCGAAACAAGTAGAAAATGCTTCTTGGTCAATTTTTAGAAACGCGCCATTGTAGCAATTCCCCTGCAAAATTTCCGAGAAAATTTCACTGAAAAAACAAATCTAGCCCAAAATCTTTTTTCAATTTGCCTGAAAAAATTAAGCAACATCTCAAAATATCCCATGGCTTCCTAAATTTGATCATAAAATTTGTAGTTCTCCCAAAAATGAGACCAAGACTCGAATTAATCTCCGTTACAAAATTCGGAGCTACTTCTTTTCAGATATTTTCAACCATTTTAATTCTCAGAAATATTCTAAATCAACCTTTTCACAAAAAAAAAGAATGTCGTCAAGAGGTAAAAAATGATAAAAATTCTAAATATTCCAAACCCGCCTCAATTTTGCCCTACAATAATTTCCAAATTATCCCGATTACAATCCCGGAGACTTTCTACCACCAACTTCGGAGCAATTCGTCTCAAATTCATCATGTGCACGCCGATATCGAACTTTCAATTACCATGCATAACTCAAATGACCTTGATCAGAGGTTCACAGCAGAAAACGTGCATGAAAAATTGTGCTAACGGTTGTGATGGATGATTGCAATTTTTCTGCCTTCAAGTACCGTAATACATCTTCGAGTAAAGATCACCGAGCACTCAAGTTTCAAGGTAAGAATCTCACGAACCAACATCACATCTATAAAAAGAAAAAAAAAATCTGCTGCTGTTCACTTTCTATTGATTTCCCCGAGTCGATGGCTTGGAAACAATTCACGGACGTAAGTTACCGAGAAAATCGTACAAATATTTGACACATTCAGAAGCTCTCAAATTCAAGACACATATGGCAGGTAAATGTGATTTCTCTGATGAGCAGGAAATGCAGAAATATTCCATCTATGATGAAATGTTACTACGAGAAAGATTATACCAGTGAAATTTAGTTTAAAAACAGGAAATCCACCTAGGAATAATCTGACCCGCGAACAGATGCTTCAGGAGAAATAAATGCAACGAAGAACTACAGCAAAATATCGATAAAGCGCTAAAATCACTTGGAAAAATGAACCAAACGGAAATCAACGAAACATACGGCACCTTCGAATATACTCGTACTTCAAAGCAAGATCAGCAGATGAAAAAGAATTACTGTGTCTCAGATTGGATTAATTTTTTGCTTCATTACGAATATTTACGCTTGCCGCGGATTAGTTAATCCCTTCGCAACATTATAAACGAAGGATTCAGTGGTTTACATAATTCGGAATTTTCTCAGAGAATAAAATATGGCAAAAAAAACAGCACATCACCAATTTTTTCGACATCAAAGCCTCAAGTAAAAGTCAAACATTCACTTCTAGCGCATAAAAAAAAATGAACTCAAAGAATCCCGCTAAATTCTCCAAGCTTCACTAAGAAACCCACAATAAAAGAACAGAATATTGTATCGGAAATATAATGAATACACAGAAGAAGAACCCTCTCAAGAGAAATAAATCTATAATCATTTGAGCCTTGAAACGTTTCTACAGTCGTTATTGATCAGTAAAAAAAAAAAATGAAGAATTTTAAAACCCCAAGGAATATTTCTTTCTCCGTGTTTCAGGCCTCGGATTTTCTCCTCTATATCGTTCGCTCTTGTGGTCGATACCCGGAATACCAGGGAAGATGGAATGCCTCCCTCGTGAGCAGCCGGAAGGAGGACAAAAAACACAAAACGAAAAAAAATAATAATCAAGAAAAAAGAAAGTTTTGCTTCCGACATGACATCCAACCGTTCTGTCATCGTCAAAGCGATTAGGAAGACTCAAAAGAGCTCGGAACGCTAATCCGCATTTCGAGCCAGTCATCTAAGAAAAACCCCCACGAGACTCAAGAGGTGGGACGAACAGGCGAATTTCTGTCCAACCTTCCGATTGGCAAGATAAACACAAACCTTCGGGTTCACGCATTCGGCGAAAAAAAAATGGAACAACTTTTTTTTTCCCATCGAAAAATACATCGGTGCACAGGAAAATTGACATTTCGAATGCTGCATTTTCCGCGTAATATATTTTTGCTTCAGAAAAGAGGCCACATGAAATTGATCGTCTTATTACGAGAGATTATTAGAGGAAGTGCCGTAAATGACCGCTTTTCTCGATATTTCAGGATATTCTACGCTGAACATTTTAAATAATTTCTTCAAGGGAAACTTTCGAATGAATTATTCATTCTGCATTAACCAGTTGTGACGTTTTTGGGGCGTCTGGAACCAATTAGAAATATCCCTATACCCATCTCAAAATTATCTGGATAATGAACTTCCCACTGGAACGGATCAAGTCCATCAACAACTTCAGTTAAAAAAAAAAAAAAATTGAAAAAATGTTGATACTCACTGAAGCTCTGTCTGTCTCATCCTCGCCACCTCTTCTCGACGACGTGCCTGCAAAACACAAATTAGCAAAGAACCGATTAATCATCTTGATTAAGCATTGCAAATGGCGTCCGAGTCAAAATATTCACTAGATTACCGCACCAACTCGACATACCACCTTTGCTGCATAATTTAGGATGCTAATGTTTTTAATTAGCATTCGTTATTAATATCTTAAACCTTTGGCGGAAAGCCAAATCAGACATACTGTAATTTCACGCAAATTTTTGACAAATCAAATTCGGTATTCCGATGAGCCCCAGGGAAATTCCCCATTCCGGCTTTTAAAATATACAGTAAACATTAATAGAACACAGAAGCTCACACTTTCTTTATTATATTGCAACGGGAACCCGTGAAAAAAAATGGAAAGAGGAGCTGCAGAAATTGTACAGTACTAACATTTTGAAAAACTGGAGTCACTGAGTGCACCGAAATCGGCCAATATTATCATCAAAATGTAAGCACATTCGTAAATTTTGCACGTGTTCAATTTCCTTGTCAGAGAACATGTAATGCATATAAAAAAAAACCACCCCTCTCATTCCTCGAGCGTCTCCGGACACGCGATTCGCAAAATTGCAACAACAACAAAAATTGCAGCCCAATTTTCTACAGCGGACGTATTTCTCAGCATTATCGATATTCGCACAGCGTAAAATTCAACGCAAATGATCAAGGTCGACATGCTCTAATTTCTGTTCACGGTTCAACACCATTGCGAAACGTGAGATAACACCGTCTCGGGAAAAGTAATTTCCTGAGACGCCGATGAATTTGCAAGACCATGGATAATCCTTGGCTCATGTCCACGCATTAAAAAATATAAAACTTGGGTTTGTGCATTAAACGGTAAAATTACGAAATTTAATTTTTTTCAAACGTGAACAATTGCATTGAAAAACGAATAGGATATTCCCATAATTACGAAAAGCATATAATCTGAGATATCCCGTTTTCCGCTCAGAACAAAGCTCGTATAAAAAACAAAAAACCAACAATATGGTGAAAGAAAAGACTTCAATATATTTTTATGAATTGAGGAAAGGAAGCCCTTCGATAATATTGTGAAGATTTCAAAATACCACAGCAATGTTAAGGTCTGAGCAAAATTTTTCAAACGCCATCAATGATTAAAAATAAAAGAACCCTGAGTATATCACTCATCAATTTCTTTTTTTTTACAATGGAGAATAATTATTGGAGAGAAAATAAGAATTAATAAAAAAAGTGCACCAGAATTCATGAACAGCTTTTAATCTCAAATGAAGACGCCCTGAACAAATTGACAAATCGCATAAATTTCTTCATTTTTTTTTTCATTCAATAATGTGAGAATGATGCAGAAACGAACTAAGTTCAATCTGAAAGAAAAATTTCATCAGGTCCTCCCCATATAATTACAGTATGCAGAAAAATTCAGTAAGACCAGAGATGCCATCATCGGGAACTTATTTTTTTAATTTTTCATTCTAAATTTTTCAAATTACTTTCGGAATAATCAGGGAAGGAACACGATTAAGATCTTTTCCATTCACGAAATCGCAGAAAAAAATGGTTCTTTTTAAAGATTTCAACTCCATCTCAACATCATTCCTTTGCAAACCCCGCAGGATTTTTTTCTTCAAATATAAGCACGTCCTAAACTCAGCAAATAAATCCTGAATCGCGAATGCATTTCCATGTAATTTTCTTGCTCCGAACGATAAAATTCCTTTCGATCGAGAAATTCCCAAGATTAAACGAAAATTGAACTCATCGTCGACCTATTTATTTTTTCCTCGCTACAAGCATTAAAATAAATCGAAAAAAATCTTCAAGGAACTTCTTGCACACAACAATCCATAACATGTCGACCGGGACTCGGGAAGTTCGCCAACTGATCGCCCCAATTCCACAGAGACGAGGAAGAACTTAGAATGGAATTAAACTTCAAATGAAAACCCGGTCATAAAAACTCCGGCAATCTTTCCCATGGAAATTTAAAAAAAGCCAATACGAGGGCTCGTTCCAAAGTTTTGTCAGGTGAAATATTAGAAATAATTCAACCAGGGGTTTCGCGTCAGGAAAAAGAGCACCTCTCTCGTCATTATCCTTCCGAATCAACAGAAACTTCTTCAAACTGAATATTTTACATGGTAATCAATGCCGAAAATTGGGCACTTCCAGGAAATTCTTTGAGTTTCAAACATCTGAGACCATTAACTCAAAACCTATTTGATAATAATTTGATTTTAATGCAATCGTTTTGATTCTCTTCAATCGTGGCCTTGACAATGGTTACTTCTCCCTCTTCAGCTAACATTTTGATTCAACCCCTAATTTCACCAATATCATAATTCCAAGAGAATTTGTTTTTGGCACACATAATTTTCTTCTTGATTGCATGGATTTCAAAAAACATTTGTACCATTTCCACTTTCCATGATTTGAATTAAGAACAAATTTCCCCATCACCGAAAATATTCCACAAAACGTGGAATTTCCTTCAACTTTTTCTTCACATTTATTGGGGACAGATTGTCACAGCAATATAAGTTGACAATGCTGAGTGTTGCAATAAAACACAATAATCAGTCCAAGACAGGACCAGGAATTCCCAAGTTAACAGGAAAAATTTATTTCACACAGGTAATCAATCAATGACTCAGCAAACTCTTCTCAGAACTAGGATAAATTGGTTAGAAGAATAACTCCACTCAACTACTAGTGATTATATGATTGAACATGAGCTGCTTATATAATCACGGATATTTAACCTTCATTGGTTTCTACTTCACATGACAGAAAAGACCTTCAACAGGTCAAGAATCTGGAGTTGAAGATGCGATTTTGAGGAGGGGGAAGCTATTAATGATTTCTAAGAATTTATATTTAATCATTAATGCGTGCTTGCCCAACAAGATTGTTCCAGATTTCTCTAAAGAACATTTCAATTCCCTTCCCTCGTCCGCTAACCGTTTCAAAACCTCACTCCTAAAAAATTAAGAATTAGAAACAAATCTATAAATCCATTATTTTGGCCACATATTAACTATCGAAAATAAGGTGCAGCGGATGAGGCCTCGTTTTACACGAAGCTCAGCTCTTTAAAGTTCTCTTTAATAAACCCAGCATCATCAAAAATTGGAACATCAATTGAACATTTTTGAAAAATGCACCTTCTCGTCATCCCGAATAGAAGAATAACGAAAATTCTGAAACACCCCTCATGTCGATGCTGTCGACAAATAAAATCGAAGGGAAAAAAACCCCACTCAGAAAAAAGTAAAATAAACTCGGTAGAACCCAGACTTTTATTACCCCGTTCATAAACCAAATGACTCTTTCGCGTTTCCCACAAATTTCTCCCTCTCTCTCTCCACTCGTTCTTCTCCAGTAGTCTTGAACAAGGAAACAAAAATAACTCGCTGGACGCATAAAAAAGTTGATGACCCATGGCGCAAAAAAAAAAAGGTATTCGTACAAAGGCCTCGTGGGAATCACTTCCACGCTACATTTGCAGTCGAAGTCGTTTCCTGTTTGCAACAGCAAAGGCCCAACTTCTGCGTCATTGGCATACCAAGAAGAAAAAAAAGAGTAGAAAATAGAGGCATTCGTATCGGGGAAATATACGATTTCAAATAGGCGTTTAAGATAAATTGCGGTAATGGTGAGTACAGCACTTATAATTAAAATGCGACCGGTTAAAAAAATCCAACAGCATTCAAATTTTGCTATTTTCATTTATCGCATTGAAAAGTGTTCGTGTCATAAAAACGTGATTTTCGCACGATTGCGTGAGTAGGATTTGAAAATTTTGAGAATCATCTTTCAATTCAATTTCCACACCAACAACAAATTACCTCACGACTGTAAGAATATTCTAGGGTCACACCATGAGTTTGTAATTTTTGTGCTTCACTTGACGCAAGTAAATTATATTTGAGATGAGCGAACACCCAGACTAAAAACTCAAAAATTATCATCAACGTTTGCGCGTTCCACGAATTTAAAGGCCTTTTAAATACAGTACTACCAAATATTTTAAATGGCTGAAAAATATCATCAGGAATAAGCTCAGACCGTATTGCCTAAATTTATAATCAATTAAAAATCATGAAGTATGAAAATAAAACTGGCAAAAATCTTGACTCTCTTCCAAGAGATTCATCATGAGCAAACCACGGCCTTTCAACTTTGCGTCTACGGACCAAGAAAATATGGAATACTTTCGAAGTTATACTACTTTATATTGTTTAAGTAGGCAAATTTTACGAATTGATCCAAACACCCGCGAAATTATCCAACTCATTACATTTCAAAAGAAATGTCATCAAACAGCCGTCATCCAGAAAATTAATCATGTCCAACAGGATTTTCAATAATCTTCTAATACGAACAAATATGACTTCAACACAATTCTCTTCCTCAATTTTAATGCATGAAATGTAAGTCTCTTGTCTCGGAAAATGAATCAAACAAAAGACAAACATGTTGGTTAGCCTCGAGTAAGGATCTCTTTTACGAAATTCTAGAACAATAACTTTCATTCAACAAATTTCCAAAAAAATTGCTTCGGTGTTCAAAAGAGTACTGAAGGAGATTTCACATAACATGCAAAAATAATGTCAACATCGATAACAGTTGTCAGCTTTGGATAACAGTATGATTCTCATCGGTTTTCTAGATTTCACATGCGACCAACAAAAAATTGTTGATTTATTCTTCACGTCAGAATAATATGATATTGATACTCGATTGTGTTTTGAAGCAGTGATTTCAAATTGAAGATGAATTAAAGTTTATAATCCATTTTAATATCAAGAAATCGGAAAAAATGAAGGGAGGAAACAAAATACCGGGATTAAATAATTAATTACCGTACAGTTTCTCAGAAAATATGGGCAACTCAAAATCAAATAAACCAAAATTAAGATCCGAATTCGGTCCGCAAGAACTCTTCACCGCAAATTACATTCTGATTTCTCAAAGCGCAATTTTCTGCAAAATGAAATTCGAACTATAACCAAATCCTCCGTTTCTGCGCTTATTCATACAGTTGAACCTCGAACAATTTTGAATACCTACATTTTTCGTTTTTTTTTTCAGTCCCTCTCTGACTTCCTAAAAAAAACAAATCAGTTAAAATCTCTCAAATTCGAGGCTTTTCCCCTCAAAACGCCAAAAGTCTAATTTTCTGACGCCTTTTGGCTAATATTTTATTGACACAGGAAAGAGAAAAGCAATAAAAATGTAACTTGATGCGTTTTGAGAGGAAGTGAAAGACGAATTGCGCAAATGAACCCATGTCTCCAATTTCAGCACCCTCTCAACTCATTCAAGAATCAATTTACGCCCCAGAAAATCAACCACTACAATTTCCTGCAATTCTTCTTCCTTTCCTTCAACAAAAAATGCTCGTCTCCCAAACTCAAATTTTTTTCTGGTCTCACGTGACATTTTAATGAGAAAACAAATTTGAATGAAGCCCTTCGGGTGAGCGAGGAATCCTGACATTTTACAGTACTTCGCATCTGTCAAGAGTGAAATTTTGGAAAATTTCAACCTTTTTTTTTTTTTTTTTTAAATACCTACTCACAATTTACGCTTCAACCTTTCCTTGATTTACGCTTCAACTGCTTGCTTCCGCTTTCACACCACAGCCCCTCACCATCTTGAAATCTCGAGACTAGTGAATCATTTCAGATAACGGATACTTCCCTTCGCAAACAACTCGGCAGTTAAATTTATTCCTTCATCCAATCGCATCTGGTGAGCGAAATATCAAAATGGATTTTTCCCAGCTCAGTTTGGAAGCTAATTTCGGGTGAAAGTTATATTTGAATCGCGTGATTAAACAGGGAGAATAAAATCGCGTTTACGAAGATTGGATATGAACTTTGCTGACACTCGAAAAGATAGTTTAACGATACTAAAATACATTTGGATGCTTACCTAATCGAAAAATGAGAGAAGCCTTTCACCTTCAAATGACTTGGAGCGAAGATCAAAAACAAATTTCAAGCTTTCCAACACCTTTCCCCAACCCGAGAACCACTTCACAATTCAACAAGATGCATCTAATTTTCAAAGTACGAGGAGAAACGTTTCGCTCTTCTTTCCCGGATTTTAATGCAGTCCAGTCAGTTTATTTTTGCCAACAGTAAATTTCTGAAAAACTCCTGCTTCAGATGCTTTTAAATCCTTTCCATAATATTAAACTTTGTTCAAAAGCAATCCTGCACACAATAATTTTTTTGTTTGATCAAAGAATTGCTTTTTGGTCGAAGCACGCATTTCATTCAGTGCAATTTCATGAAATGTGCAGTAAAATATCGTAACAACGAAGCCATTGAAACTAGCAAAATAGACTTTGTCGTAATGAAACATTTCCTATAAAGTAACTCATTCAACTTGTGGTTATTGGGCACGGAAATAAAAATTGATTCATCACAAACTATTATTCGTTGCAACGAGATTCGACTATTTTTCTTGTAAAGAAAAAATTCCAGCACCCGGAGTATTACTACAGAAATTCCAATTCTGATTGCCGTGACGCAGTTTGTGGAGAATATCGTTGTAAACGACCTCGTAACGATAGTTCACCTTTCCTTTGAATCTTCAAAATGAAATACAAATTCAAATGAATCCCAAGAAATTCAACGATAACATGAAGCACCATAATACTGTATGAAGTGAACAAAATACCTGTTCATACTTAAGAGGAAAAAAAAGAGCAGAGAATTCCTCTCATGAGAAATTAAAAATGCTATGAAACAGCACCAAAAAATGCAGGGTTTGACGCAAAACGTAAAAAAATGACGATATTCGGAAAAAAGGACCGTGCCAATGAAAAGCCGCTTCAGAGAGCTGAAAATACCAATATTCGAAATGCAACAGCAAGAAATTCCTGAATTCGACAAAAAAAAATAAATAAAACCACGAAAATATGAATGAATAAAATGAAAATAAATAAACGTCACCCAAACCCTCTCAAAGCGAGACAAGTGCACGTATAATCAAGAACGCAAAACTTCCCAGCAGCAGTGTGAGACTCCAAACGGGAAAAAAAGAACAAAAACATATCCGGAACTTTAAAAATGTCCCTTCATGAAGAAAAAAAAAAACCGGAAGAAAAATTCCGTGCCACGTATTTCGGCCAGGCAACCAGCGGAAGCAAGTCGGCAATGATGCAAAGAAGAGAAACAACAAGCATTCCTGTCGAAGACCAACAGCATTCCCTTCCTTCCTCCCCATTACCAATCCGTCCTCGCGAATAAAATAAAAAAATAAATAAATCTCCAAATAAATGAAACAATAGCCGAGAGAAAAAGAAATAGATGACATGGCGGAGTGGTTTCAACCAAAGCAGCCATGACTGGGACCGACAAACATTCGCCGAATATAACGCCTTCTTCCTTTTTAAACAGTCCCGTCTTTTCTTTTTCTCTTCCTCTCACTTCTACTCTTTCTATCTTTCGTTCTTCTTCCCTCCTCTTGTACCTTATTTTTTGTTCTCATTTGTTTTTGCTTCATTTTCAGCTATTCTTCGAAGCCTCCCGGCGCCGGGATTCCAGAAATAGAAACACAAACCCCGACGGCGACGAGGGGAAACCCCCCCCCCCCCCCCTCTTCACGGGTTTCGGGTTCGTTGACGCTGTCGATTTCCGACGCCGTCGAACGTTTTCCCCGTGGAAACGAAAATTCCCTTCGTAGATGGCATTGATCGAAAATGTTCTCGACAAATACACTCGCGTGGGCCAAAAAAGTGAGGCTTGAGTGAAAAAAAAAAAAAAATTGGCGCATGCAAAAAGATCTCTCTCGCCGATTTTGACTGGCAGAAAATTAGGCTGCTTTTCGGAAATCTTGTGGGTCGATCCGCATTTTAGATCCGCGTGAAAACAGCTGGTTCAAAATGGTGCGCAAACTCAAATTGTCCGTGACTTGGAAACTTATGAAAATGTTTTTTTTTTTACCAGTAAGAAAAAGTTAAAAGAAAGATTTAAATGTAGTTCAGGTACTTATTTTTTCAGGCACGATGGAAATAACAATTTAATTCGCTAGATTTAAATCACTCGAGGGAAATTCGAGTGAAGCAGATCCCAGTGCTTAAAAAGCACTGCTCTGGAGAATTTCGGCTCAAAAAACTTGCAAACCATCATAATGCAGGAATGATTCAACAAAAATTCATGGCTAGCCTCCGCAGGAAAGTTCTATGCAAGTGCTTTGGAAAAAAGTTCACTTTCGAAATGTTATGATTGCTACAGTCATTCGAAAAAGCCGAAAATACCTCAAATTGCTAGATTTGACAGGTATTACAGTAATTCAAAAAAAAATCGAGCTCAGGTTCAGAGAAATTTCAATTGATGAATGCTCTCTTGATTTGGCGTCGAATAATTTTATAATTGACGCAAAAAGAAAAGCGAAAAATAGATTGCCCTGGATCAGATTCAAGCTACGCCGCCAATTTTTCCAGGGAATTTTTTGAATTTTTAAAATTTAATCCGGTGCTCTCAACTTGAACTGAAAAAAGCAGTAATTTTCGATCATTGAGGATCAATTGACGGTTCGTCTTCGAGTCGACATAAATCTTCAGCAACTCTTGGAAGATCTTGAAATTACAATACAGTGCTGTATATAACTTTGAATCGACATCTTACATCGGCTCAAATACAGATGGCATTTATTTTTCTACAGATAAAATTCAATATTTCTTTGACCAATACAGTATTCAGAAAATTAACTACGAGTAAACTCTCTCCACGATAATTTTGTCTGTACAACGAATTTTTCCCACGAGCTTCTCTAGAAATGTTACAGGGGTTCTTCGCAACAAATTGTTTCAGGTCCTTTAAATTTTTCTGTAGAGAGAGAGAGAGAGAGAGCCCACTTGTAACATGCAAAAAAAATTCAAGTCTTGGAACAAAATCCGTTTTTACAATTCCCACGCCCTGTATTTTTCAGGATCCCCCATCAGAATTCATAAGTTGAGAATAACGCACATTCCAGCTACTCCTGCAACATAATTCTCAAAACTTGTTTCAAAATCAAAGCTAGACATGCAAGAAATTCTAAAAACTTCTTCGATGCAATCAAAATTTCTCAAAGCACTAAGAAACCGGAACTGGTAAACCTCTTACTGATTTTCCCCCCGAAGAAAGTCAGCTTATTTTTTTTTTTTCATTTTAAAAGAAGAGAAATAATACAAGGAATTCCCCGGGTCCAGAAAATCCTTCCGTCTTCATAAACACAACAAACGCGGGCGTGGCAGAATGAAGGCGAGCCAACGTCACGATGACGTCGGCACAATCCAGCATCATCATCAACACAATAAAGACGACGGTGTTGTCGATAATCACGATGATGATGATGATGGGAAGTGAAGCAATGAGAAGAAGATATAGAAAGTCTCCACACGGCAAACTCAAATAAACCAGAGCATCAATAAAATATAAATTGGAATCGTTCCACAAACAAACAAAAAGATGGCAGAACTTTCCTCGAATTTCTCTTTGCATTGAAATTCTCCGACGCAGGAATAGAAATAAATGGACGGTAAATTAAATCGTTCCACAAATATTTAAAAGGTGTTGATCGAAATAAATCGGTTTTGAAAATTCATATTTAAAATGTAGCTCAGTTCGTTTTTGGTGGATCAAAATGAGCAAATATTCAAGGTTTTATTACTGAAAAAAAAATCAAGAAAATATCCACTCAGAAAATTTGAGGAAATGGCACAATGACTGCTGACAGAAAATGCTGCCGGTTTTTCTGATAGTACGTACTTCAAAACAAGTGAACCTTCATTTCCAATCACTAAAAATACAAGATATGAAAAAAATTTCAGACATGATCAAATCCTTTCACTTCTATACCCTTCATTTTCTTCAAGAACGAAAAAAAACAGTTTATCTTTCCCTACTGGTTACAAAAATTGTCAGAAAATATTCGCACTTGGTCTTTTCTTCGCTTTCGGAAATTTCCTCTTATTGCACGAGAAATACTTCAAGTCAACCAAGAACAATGCATTTTCAAGAAACCGCTTTTCTTACACGTCACATCCGAACCTGACGCAACTTTCAAGAAATCCTTTTTTGCTTACAGCAATTCTTGCAAAGCTCGGAAAATGAAATAAAAAAAAAACTGACATCCCCGATAGAAGGACGAAAGATCATCAATTCCGTAATCAGGATGTCAGGGATAATATGTAGTTCAACTTCAAGCAAAGCAGCAATTTTTCACACGCGCAGTAGAAATTTCTACAGATTGCACAGGATCTGAGCATCATGGATAGTCCCAATAATTCTACGTTAATGTGCATTTCTTAACGCCATCGAGAAAAAAAGGGGGAATAAATCTTATGAATAAATCGCACGTCATACAATTCCGTCTGTGAAAGTTCCTGCTTTTCCCACTTTATGGTGGAAGAAATTGTAAATGTAAAAAAACAGTAGCAGTTTCCACCACGACGAACACCTGACCTTGCTTCGAGAGTTTGAAAACCGTAAGAAAGGATTTTCACTTTTACTAAAAACTTGTCCAAGACTAAGTTTAAACAATTCAACACAACCTTAAATTCTTTCACATTGAAATTGCCCCCAGATCAATACAAGTTCCCCAACTGACTGACTTCATGCTAATAGAATGTCTAATCCCCATTTGTATCCCCAACAATTACTTCGTTAAATTCATGAAACGAAGAGACGTTGAAACATGATCCAAAAATAACAGCAAAACCAGTCCGAAACGAAGCTCAACGTAGTCACGGATATAATTATTTTTCTATTCAACTTTACTATACCGTACCTAAAAAGGGCAGCCAAAATTCAGCTATAAATTTCAATTTGCGGAACAAAAAATAATTGTAATACTGTTACCCGTCAATATTCAAATCAGAGTTCATCATTCCAAGCGAAAGCGATGAGTCAATTATCAAGGGTAATTATAATCTTGAAATTCAGGTTGCTATTTCTGCGTGAATGAGGCAAAAATATATATTGACAATTTTGCTGGAACATCGCTGAATGAATACAGATTATGACGAAATCCACTTCCGCTCTGATGACATTAAAAAAATTCAGGCGAAACCTGCAAAATTACGGTGGGGGGGGGGGGGGGGGGGGAATCCCCCCCTTTTATTTTTTAAAATGCCTTCTAAAATAATCTCTTTGGATCATGTTTCAACGTCTCTTCGTTTCATGAATTTAACGAAGTAATTGTTGGGGATACAAATGGGGATTAGACATTCTATTAGCATGAAGTCAGTCAGTTGGGGAACTTGTATTGATCGGGGGGTGGAATCGCGCCATTTTATTTTTCAAAATGCCTTCTAAAATAATCTCACTCGAGCCAAGCAGGATTCACTATCCATCCAAAAAACTCTGCAGATTATCTCGGAAGTAAGATAAGGATAAAAGCAGGAAAAAGCCCGACCTTCGAGAATCACGAAAATACGCCACAAAAATTGAGTCCCATTCTCTTCGCTGTTCCCAGGGGAACGAAAATCGAGAGAAAGTCCGCAGACTATCACACATAAATATGCTTCGTCATTAAAAAAAAAAAAAAAAGGTAAAGACAAGGAACATTAAAATAAAAATGAACACGGAAATCAAGGACCTGTGCATATGACAGCCGTGTTTCACAACGAATTCGACACAACCGCCAAAATCCACGCTTCCGGGCAATAAAAATCCGTTTATTTTTATTTCTTCATCTCTCTCTCTCTTTTCCTTCTTCGGCAGCCACCGACTTTCAAAATACCCACCGATGCCATTATCACCATGACCAACATCATCATCATCATTATTATCATCATCGTTATGATCGTCTTCCTCGTACACGAAATGAGTATTTCCACATACGTACTTCGCAAACGAGTTTACATCGAACAATGTGAGCTGATTGACGAAACATTCGTTTTTCTTTCCACTTCTCTCAAATATTTTCCGATGTCGCAATGTCAACCGATATTTCAACTGAAGGGTTTTAAAGAAGAAAGAAAGCCCGCATTCAGCTCAGTCATGGTTGGTCGTAGACAAAAGCTAACAAGGTCTCCACGCAATTTAAAACACAGATCTCGCAATTTCCACTGGATTTCTGACTGCGAACTTGGCGCTAAAAGATAAAATATTCAGCATACTTCCGTGTCCAAAATATAGCTCGCAAGAATATTAGGAATTTTACAACGCTGTCCATCAGAAGTATAATTTTTACGAGGCTAGGTGGCATTTTAACGCCATAATTGCGTTAGGATTCTACACAGACTCATTCGAAGTTCCAGATTTTTTCATCCTTCGTGAAACACTCAAAAAGGAAAATTTTTCCGTCGTTGAATTGAATACTTTAAAATCTCGAAGTATTCACCTTTTAGAAACGCAGGGAGGAAGTGTTCAATTAATTTTGTGAATGTTTCTAGCTTTAAAAAAAAAGAATACTGACGAAACCTTTTCCATGGGCCCGCATTTTTGCTCCTTTTTGTTGCAGTGAAAAAAAACAGAGCAATTGTACAATTAATTTAGAAGTCACCAGTCCCAAATGTAACCCATGCAATGAAAATGTCACTCCAATCTGTGGCTGATTTTTTGCAATCCCTATTCAATTTTGTTAATCTTTCTGGCCTTTCAGAAGAACAAAAAATACCGACGACATATTTTTGTATGAGCGCCCTTTTCGTCAAGTTTCGTCGCAGTGAAAAAAAAAACAAGAACAGAACAGGGAACCAATGTACAATCAATTAGAAATCACTGATCCCAAATGCAATCTATGCGAAAAAATGTGTGGCAGATTTTTTCGCACCCCCTATTTAATTTCGTTAATCTTTCTAGCTTTTCAGAAAAAAATCAACACCGACGAAACCTTTTGTATCGGCCCCCTTTTCACTCATTTTTGTTGAAAAAAAAAATCAGGTAGCGCAAATGCAAAATTAATTATAAATCGCCGATCCCAAATGCAACCTATGCATTGAAAATTCAACTGAAATTTCTAGCGGACTTTCCCACACACCTTAATTATTTTTGTTCATCTTTCCAACTTTTCAACAACAACAACAACAAAAAATACTGTACCGATGAAAACTTTTTCACTGTACGTATAAGCGCCCCTTCTTCCGCTCACTTATTGTAGAGTGAGAAAAAAAAAAAGAATCACAGGGAGCAAACGTGCAATTAAAAAATCACCGTATTTGCGCCGCACAGTCGACTGATGATGATGATAATGATGATGTTGCTGCTGCTGCACCAGCGGTTCTTGCCCGTCATTGTGACACTCGCAGGCCTTCAGCTTACGACCCGCATGCTTCAACAGGCTGTCAAAAAGCAGGATCCACTCCTGATCCTCCCGATCCTCGCCCCACACGTCGCTCGGCGACGGCAAGTCCTTCCTCGTCGCTCCACTCTCCGACAGCGACGCGTCACGCGCCGTCGTATTACTACCACTCTTGAGACTACCACTGCTAGTACTGCTGCAATCTTCGTCCTTGTTGTTTTCGGACACACCGCCTGCCGACACGAGCTCCGCCATTATCTGCTTGTTGTTGTTGTTGTTGTCGCCACTGCTGCCGTCGTCGTCTTCGTCGTCGTCGTCCAGGGGCGACGTTTCCGGCGAGCTCATCGACACGCCCGACGCCAACCGCGGGCCCGACACCGACAAGACCGGCGACACGCCTCGCCAAACATCGTCCTCCGCCGGCATCACCAAACTAAGGCGTCCCCCTCACAACTCACTTGCTCATTCACCAACAGTACTGTACTGTACCGTACTTCAACTTCACTTCACTCAACTAGCACCACTCCGATATGTTACTCGATTCCGAGTCCGAAAAAATTTCATCTTCTTCTTTTTCTAATATTTTTTTTTGTTCACAGCCTTGTGAGATTGATCAATCGAAAAAACAAAAACATTTCACGATTTCGGAGAAGAAAAGTGCACAAAAGGTACTCATTATTCAAATCCAGTGGCGCCATTCAGACACTACTAATATCCGAGGCGGGTTTTTTCTCGCATCGCGAGGAGCGAAAATGATATTTTTCAGGATAATAAAAAAAATGGATATTGATACCAACGGAACTTCTGATGGAAATTCTGAGGTGCCAATTCAACTGCCAAAAGCACCAAACAGAAGAATGTAATTTCTTTCGGAGTACTGTATAAAATCTTTCAACACCTGGCAATAAAAAACCAAGATGAATTTCCCCATGATTTCTAGAAATGAATGAAAAATATATTGACCGAAATGGAAACATACTTGTCATAACAGTTCATGAAGTCAAATGACAAGACATAAACTACAGTAGATGGAGATTTGATACGAAGAAATATTATTCAAATCCAGCGGAACAATAACTCGTTTCCGAGCTTAAAAAACTCGCCAATTTTCCTTCGAATCTCGGGGATAGAAACCCTATTATTTTTGCATGAATAAAAAAACAAGGAGTTTGAAAAGCACGAAACTCATTTTTTAAATTTTAAAACGCAGAGGAATTAATTCAAAGTACTGTAAAACTTAAATGTACTGAATCGTCATTTCCAAGTCTCGCTAGACCCAGCGATAAAATTTGAGATAAATCTCTCGAAATTCCGCAAAGAAGTGGATATTGACAAAAAACGGCCGTGCCTTTCACAAGCATTATTCCGAAACTCTATACACAGTCTACACTCTACAGTACTCATTCATGAACCAAAAAGGATTGTTTTCTGACTGACAAGCATGACTCGTCACGAGGTTTGAGACGAGATACATTTTTACATGACCAAAAAAAAAAAAAAAAAATTTCAACCACCCTAACGAAAAATGAAATCCAAAATCATAGGTATACCCATTTACTAGCACCCACTCAGACACTGTACTTTAATCATTTCGGATTTCTCAAGATATGCATGACATTTTTTTGGCATGGACCTCATCGCATGCGCAAAAATCTCCCTCACATTTCGCCTTTTCGACAGGCCGCTTTCTTCCTTTAAAAATCGTTCATCCCATTTTTTATGGCCTCCAGTCTTCAATGCAGAAAATTTGCTTGACCAAAAATCTCGGATCACGAAAAGTCTATTAATGGACGGACCAAAAATTTATTCTAACTCGACAATTCAAAAAATATTCCTTCAAGTTACTTCGGCATCATCCAGCGCAAAAAAAAACAATGCACTTGAATCAAGAACCCAAATCATGGTTCATTTCCCTTCCCATTTCTGAGCAAACAAAAAACCCCCCAGTGACGCTGCTTTTTGGTATCGTAACCCGATGACGGGTTCTCTGTCGGGATTGTAACAACCGTCTCCGGTGCGGTGACGACAGCGTCGAACACGTCACGTGCCCCGAGGGGGAACGACGACGACGACGACGACGACAAACATATAATATTCATAGTAATAATAAAGAAAAGGAAAAAAACAGAGAGAAAGAGGAGGGGAGGAAACGTCATCAACCCGTGGGATTCTCACGCAACACACAACCGGCAATAGGGAAGCAACAAAAAAACACAAGAATAAAAGAATAGGTTTCCAAGGTGAACAGTTGCCAGGAAGAAAAATCCACGCGATGAAGGATCACTTTTAAACCACGGTTTTCCTTCCCTATCCAACCGATCGTTACCGGATTTCCTCTATAAAACTTTCGTCACGATTTTTTCTTCTTCCATTACTGTACCGTACTTTCACACTGTAAAAAAATAACATTCTCATCAGTTTCGTCTTCAAATAGCGCCAGTACACAAAAAAAGGAATACCAAAATACGAGGGGCATCTGATCTGATTTTAACGCAAAGTTCCAAACGAAAGTAAGAGAATTTTAGACGATGCGATCAACTATCAGCAGAATCCTTTTCTGTCTCTCACTGGATGCTAAGCCGATTTTTTTTAATGGGTGATGAAATGGAGAGAATTGATCACCATACCACATTCCATCCGAGATCGATTTTAAAGTTCATCTTTCCCAACTTCATCAAATGTCTCAGTTGAACTGAGCTTTAAAACCCACAGTTTTCTTCCCCATATTATTAACACGTTTTTATTAACTCGCTTTCTTGTCCGTTTGTTTGTCCAATTCAAACAGCTGCTCAATTTTTCTCTGTCCTGCGGGATTCTGACAGCATGCGAATTTTGCGTGGCTGTGCGCAGTATTGCAGAGCCCCTTGGATTGATTTAGGTTATTTTTTGCTTTTTGAAAACGTGGTTTTTTAGATTAATTTTTTAATCTACTAAATTTTTTTTCATGCGTTTCATGAAAAATCAAGAGGTGGCAAATTCAAGCTTGAAGAAAAAAGTGTCAAAATCAGTAGCTGTGTGTAATTCTTCAATGCATTTACAAATAGTGATAATAACTGACGCAGAAAGAGTTCAAAATAATCAAACTGATCATATACAGTACATTAATTTTCAAAAACTTCAGAAAATAAATTTTTCAAACAACATGGGGAAATTGGGCACTATCACATCATTCATTTTTAATACAAGACTTGAATACAATGGCCATACTTTAAAAATGTCCAGTTCCACTCAGAATAACTCTTATTATTGATCAACAGTTTAATTTCTCAAACATCGCATTCATGGTTGCACATACAGTATCTGAAAAATAGATAAAACTAAAGGAGAATACGTTCTTTCAAACAGCAGACCAACACTAATTTCAGCAGAAAAAAAAATATATATATATATAATCGCCATCTCTTCCAAATTTGTCATCCTAGAAAGGGTAAACCCCTGTTTTGCCTCACTCACAAGAGAGCACACTTTGTACACTCGAATCAATAGCAAAATCAACCGTCTTTCATTACCCACTAATTTTCTATTTTCTAGAAGAGAGAAAATGTTTTCCCTACAAAAATGGAAAGGAGATCATTATTCTCTCCAAGCCAACATTTCATTCGTCCGAAAACCCACTAAAGCCAACTCTTATTATTGATCAATAGTTTAGTTTTACAAATACCGTATTCATACTTGCACATACAATATCAGAAAATAGTTGATAAAACTGAAGGAGAATATTTTCTTTCAAACAGCAGACAAAAAATAATTTCAGCAGGCAAAAAATATAAATAATTGTCATCTCTTCCGAATTCCAAAATTGCATTTGTCCCGATAAACCCACTAAAGCCAACTCTTACCAACAGTTTCATTTTCAAATACCGCATTCATACTTGCACGTATCTGAAAAAACAAAATCGGTAAAACTAAAGGAGAATATTTTCCTTCAAACAGCAGACCAAAACTAATTTCAAAAGATTAAAAATATAATCGACATCTCTTCCGAATCGCAGCATTTGATCTGTCCCGAAACTCAATTTCCCCACAGATTTAATTATTTCCATACAAGAAGGCAGCCATGACGCTTTTCTGACGATTTCGTGAAGCTCTCAGTTATTTCTGACATTCACGTGCAGGTGACTTTCCCACGTCCAGTAATCCACAACGAAGCGAACGAACTTCACGCGAATGACGCTCACACACACACACACACACATATGGAGGAAAATTTGCGGTACTTTTGCCTTGGAGCACAACATTTCTCCGTTTCTCAGGGAATTTCCACCTCACATCATACAGTACTTCCGTACATTCCACTGTTTCATTAGAACAGATTTTTAGTGTTATCGCATCACTCGCGTAGAAGTAATTTTTTATTGCACTTGAAAAAAGAAACTAAAGGTAACAGTAGAAATCCAAGAAGAAAAAAAAAAAAGCAAAACTTACACCACACTCAACTTCACAAAATCTTATCTACTTCAACCTGGACCAAATCTAATCTGGTTCCGGCGGTGATAAAATAATCCACATCACGACCTCTTCCACGTCCGACACATAGCAATGAATTCAGGGGACAATACATACGTAATAAATAGAATTTCATCCTAGAAGAGCCGTAACTAACACAGATGGTATCAAATGATGGTATCTGTGTTAGTCATGGCTCTTCTACGAAATTCAAAAGATCAGAAAAAAATCGCTGCAGAGAACCTTTTCGAAAAAGTTTCAAAAAAATCATTATACAGTCATGTTCAGAGAAATTCGTTTTATACAGAGTCTCCCTTTACCAGGTTTTGCACAGAAATTACTGCAATTCCCTCAAAATAAAAAATGCCTCAAATAATTTCAATCCCAGAAGTAAAACAGCTCGTCACTAGTGTAGGTGTTATTTTTCAAACAAAAAATAGCATCAAAAACTTGAGAATTACATCGACAAGTTTCGCATCAAGTATTTTGCAAAAACCAAGTATAATTTGCCTAATCTCGAGAGGGTTGAGACAATCGCAGAGCAATTGTTGAACGATTCAAGTCGTGAAAGCTTCAGAAAATATAATGCAATTGAAATTCAAGGAGACGGTCATCATTGTTACTAAGGGATAGAGACCAGAGAGAAATGCTCCATTCATGATTTCTTCCCATTTCCACAGCAAAAACTTCCATTCAAATGTAGTGCTTGAATATACAGTACAGTACAACACTACGGTTTTTTTCTTTTCAATGATAAAGATAAGCATGGCACAGACACAAGACCACCAAGCATTATTATCATTTCAGATTTACACTTGCGCGTTACCTCTGAATAATTCAAGAGCCACGTCCTCCATTTTTAGAGAAACAACAAAAAATAATAAAAGACAGGCCCAAAAGTAAGAACAGCGACTGAAACATACACAAAAATCACTAGACGCTTGGTTTCCATTCTCAAAAAGACACCGCATTCACTTGCA